CAGACATTTTGAGCCGCGCTCCCCGTGGGACAGCCATCTCGCTCTTCCCCATCCTCTTTCTCCCTATTCCGGTCTATCTTTCTCTATGAGCGAACGTGGGAAGGAGAAGAGCGCGGTTATTGAATTACGAACTCTTAGCTTTCCAGTTTCTTGCAGAGTGCGCGCCTTAAGGGACGCGAGCGCGCCCAAGTATGTTCTCCAAAGACTCCTCTACGGGCGAATAGAAGGAACAAATAAAAGGAATCACTCTTTTAGAGATCTCTTCGGCCAACGTGTTCTACTCATCTGTAAATCTATGTGTGTGTATCTATGTGGGTGTGTGGGTGTGTGTGTGTGTGTGTGGTGTGCGCTTATTCGCAAAGAAGTTTTCTACAGCGAAGGTATTTTCTGTTTTAGATTTTAGATGAATGCGCGGTATCGGGTAAACGAAGCGCGTACAATATCATTTGCATAGGCAACGCGGAAATACCAAGCGTGCGCGTGAAAAATTTTCCACTGAGAAGCAGATACGAGAATCTAGCTCTCTTATCGGGCGATCGATCTCTGATCTCGGAAAATTTCTGAAATTTTTCCAAATTCCGGACAAATGGTTTCAGACAGACGTGTATATTTCCCGTGACAGACGCTGCAATTGCTCATAAACTTTTCTTTCACATCTAACATATCGCATACTATAATTAGAGGGGAAAGAGAGGAACGTTCATGAATACCGGTAATATTTTCCCGTTGAATATTTTCTGTGCGTTTGAAGCTGGCACACTCTCGCGGGCTGGCAACACGCGCGGACGGAGATAACGCCGGATTATTCGAAAGCCAAGTGTGTTTTATGCAATTGCAAATCGCCCCGTGGCGAGAATTCCAATGCGGAATTGAGATTGATTATGCGACTTGCCTCGCACGTTTCGCGATTTCCATACATGTGAGTTAGAACGACGCATGCTCGTCATGAAAATGTTAATCAAGCCCTTTGTTAAGAGTCTTCGAATGTCTCTGTCTACCTTTGGAACGTATTCCCCGATTGCCGCGATTATTCCTTTCATTTTCGCCCGCAAATGTATATTTAAAACCAAAAAAAAAGAAAAAAAGCACATCTATATTATATATCATTCTCGGTAATTTCTATAATTATGCCGTAATCCGCGACTACTAAATCCCCGACGATCCCTTCTCGACTCTCGTGGTCGAGTCTAGACTCAACTTCAGAATTAATATTCCGATTATCATCGTTCTGATAATCGTCCCGATTCTCTATAATATTTCATATCCGAATTGGGTTTCTCTCTGTTTCTCTCAGCTCGGTAATCTCGGATTCCAGCCAATTTCGCGGCAAGGACTTAATCTAAATAAGACTCCATTACTCCGCCGCGCTCTCGGCTCTGCCTAGATATTTCTGTAAAACTTCATTTCTCGCAATTTCCTATGTAAGATTGCCGATCTCTTTCGTTATTAAAATATATGAATTTATCACGCGGCTTTTATTCTTATCGCTCGAATTACGCCACCAATTCGCTCACGATAATTATTCGATATAGCCATGTGATACGGGAGCAAAATTCACTAATTCGCCACATTTTCGACCTTCGCGAATACCGCCAAGCGAATATCCCAAAGCACGTAGTTCGAGTGCTTAAATATAAGACTCGATTGAAAAATTTGATTCGAACTCGCACGTAAAACATCAGGTATCGATTGCCAGAAGGGAATATCAATTGATTTCATCCGCATCCAGTCTCTTTCTCTCTCTCTCTCTCTGAAAACGGCGCAATCAAGAAAGTACAGTTGACGGAGTTGGTTTTATGTAGCATATAGCACTCTAAGAGAGAAAGAGAGAGAGAGAGAGAGTTATACTCAAATTATAACTCCATTTTATCGCATCGTTTAATAACGGAACTAAGTCGCCGATTCCGTTACCTCCGATACCGCGGCCAAGTTAGCGGCTAGAAGATAATCTAAATAAAATCCAATTGCAACTACAAAACTATCCGACCGAACTTACTTGCTTCTCAGCATCTTCGGTACCAATGAAACCCGCCCTGTTTATTCTCACCGTCGTTACATTTCTTTCGAACAGATTCTCTCATATCCCCCGATGGTTCCTTTGAGTGTTGCTCGTCGCTGAAAATTGTTTCTACTCACATGTGATATCTCGACACTCGTGATGGGTTGCGTCGTTTAAGAAAAAGTATCTTCTTTTTTTATAAATACACCAGACCTCATATGTGTCTGAAAATTATAATCGGGGTTATTCGAACGTCTTTTAATGCTGTATAGCGAAATCGTAAGATTAAAAATTGTACGTAATCTTTTATTAAATTGCACTAACATTATTATTTAAAGAGACTTGTCTCAGAGCGCTGAATAAATTACACTTTAATAATAATAATAATAAATTTATTAATTAATGTATACATATAAATGTTGAGACATATGTTTTCACGACATCTGGAGTGTACAAATACGTACTGTCACTGTTCGTTCGTCACGCGATATTTGACGCACGTCAACATTTGTACAATGGCCAATTACGACGAAGTCAAGAGGCGCCGCGAGCTGGCATAACACGCGTTCGTTAACGGAAATATAATCCCACACCGTTCATAAACTATTAATTTCTTGCGTAGGCGTTGGTCTCTTTAGCGCGAGCTGACGCGAGATAGACGTCGACGTAGGTGACAACCTTTATCGCGTCGGGTATCGCGCGTCGGTTCCGCTACTACGTTAATTAATAATTTGCCATCGGAATTACTTCATGATTAACCTCTGGATGATTAGTTGAGACAATTACGAAATTCTTTCCCGCATTACGAGTTAATCGAGTTCGGGTTGACATGAAACTCGCGCGCGCGTGCGTTCAGAAAATTGCCCGTGCCAATTAAACGCGTTCTTAATTACACAAGAGAGTGCCTCACGATACTAATATCCACTCGCGAATTGGAAAAAAATAGCGCGAAATGATGATGAAAAAGGAAAACCATCGAAAGTAAATACGTCTCTCGAGGTTATTCGCGAATTTTACATCACTCCTGTGTGTGATTGCGCAATTTAATATTGCAGCTTATTTATATAGCTCCGCCTCGTTGTTTGAAATATTTCAATAGATATTTTTCATACACATTTTCTTACGCGATTTTCGTGAAAACGTCCGTTTCAATTTCTTAACGGAGATTAGTGAAATCTAAAGCATCCATCGCACTGAACACGATTTCGGCCGATGGCGAGAGCAATCCGAATTGACGACGCAAAAATAAGCGAAATTACTTCGTGCAGATGTGAAATTACTGATTTCGGGACACGGAGATAAGCGTTTAGGCGCGAGCAGCCCTCACGATAAAAATCCCTCCCTTCCTCCTTCCCTCCCTCTCCTCTGTGAGCACGCGGCGAATTTTTTCCCTTCGTTGTCGGGATGGTACGTGCGGATCCGAGCATCGCTGCGGATATTTCACGAGGCACTCTCTCTCTTCGGAAGCGCCATACTTCTACAAAGAGTGATAGAGCTGTAAAGAGAACGAGGCGAAAAGATACAGAACGCGGGAGGGAAAGAGAGGGGATCAGAAGAGAGCAAGCGAGAGAGGAGGAGAGGGCGAGAGCGAGAGAGAACGAGAGAGAGAAAAGCCTCGTTCGAGCCACCCCGGCTCGTGTCACCCACTTCTGCGACGATGAGAGAGGGTGTACAGTAGAAATGTCGATAAAACGTGTCGGCCAATGAGCGAGCCCGATGTGACGTCACTGCCGCGGCATCGGCCAATCGGGTGGCGCCGGTGACGTCACCGGTGAGGGTGGAAACAACCCCCGACCCGGGACCCGAGAAGCCGCAGGCTTTTCTCTTTCTGGGGGCTGCTGGAAAGAGGGGTCGCTCGGCAGGGCGGGGCGCGAGGGTGGAGATTGTTGGGGCCGCGAGGGGGTGGATGAGGGAGGCTGAGAGGCTGAGGGTGCGGAAACATGCGCCGGTGTGGATGCCGGGGTGAGTCGCCGGTGGCGGCTCGGGCAAGCCCCAATATGGGTTTACTAATCCCGCGAAACAATGGAAATTGCCCGATGCAAAATGGCGATAGGTAAACCAGCCTGGATTCCCCGGGTGAGGCCGGGGGTAAACTTAAGACCCGAGGGCTCGGTGATGAGAGAGAGAGAGAGAGAGAGAGAGAAAGAGTAAAAAAACAAGAACGCTTTTCGGCCCAAGAGGCTCGCAGCCCTTCTTTCGCGCCGGGGTTGCGTTCTGCTCGGTATCGCGATAAGGGTTGATCCTCGAACGACTCTCGCCCATTCGTACACCGCACGTCGCTTTGTTAGCCCTCTCTCGTCGCCATTTTGTTGCGAACACACGTGTCGTCTCGGCCGAGCAGCACCGTAGTAACAATCGTTTTTACATACACGCAATCCCGCGCACGTATCTACCCTTTGCGCCTGCAGGATGCCGCAGCCGCGCTATCTGGAACTTCTTATGAAACTCGAAAAACGCTGCGACGGCAGCACCCCGCTTTGAAATCAATTTTCAAACTAACTACTGCTGGTCGCAGCATTTTCCGAATTTCAGAAGAAATCTCCGGTGGCGCCGCCACGGCGCCCTCCGAGAGACCAAGGGATTGATCTTGCGGATTACTGCCTTCGAGCAACTTATCAATCTCGTTTCTGGCGCTGTTCTGCAGTGAGAGAGAAAGAGAAATGGTTAATCTCGCGAAAGTTACAGTAATCTTCGGCGACGATCATATCTTTTCGTTACTCTAATGAAAAAAATATAGCAATAGCACGAATATGCGTACAATATTTTTATCTCTAACACTGTAGTGTGTGTCTGTGTGTGTGTGTGTGCGTGTGTGATGCTTACTACAAAAATAGTTTTCCGTTCACTGTAATTCAATTATGGTCAACCACGATTAATTAACTACGGTTAACTGCACGGGATTAACGTTAATCAACTTATAGTTAACTGTAATTACTTCACCGTGCAATCACGAATACTAAGGGCGAGTCTCTCATTCGTCACATGTCGTTTCGTGCCGTAGGTTTGGTTCCAGAACAGAAGAGCGAAATACCGGAAGCAGGAGAAGCAGCTGCAGAAGGCCCTGACGCCGATTCCCGCCTGCCAAGGTGCCATGATGAGGAATATCTATCCTGGCGCCAGTAGGGGTTATCAACCCTATCCCCATCCTCACAACAGCATAAATGGCATAAATCGTTATCCCCAGGTGAGGCTCCCTTACGACGCGCAGGACGCTTCCGAAATTTCATTATTATCGATACCCGCCGCTTTGCACGCTCACCAATACACGCAACGCGAAGACACAGCCTCGATTATGGCAAGTAAATAATATAAACAAGACTTGTTATGCGAATAATATCGAATAAGAGTGTGATATATCGAGTGCGATCTTCAAGACGTGCTTTTGATTACCCGAGATTTACTCTCCCTCGTTTCGTTTATCCCCCGGGGATATTTAAGGGACACAGACACTTATTATCGCATATTGCATAAAACATTACTGAAAACGCGAAAATGTCCCGACAGACGGGAAGATTCTTTCCCTCCGAAACACGAGCTCGATTTGTTCGGATCATCGAGGAGGGAAGTGCACCTAAGCGCATCCAGGGAATTACGCTAAGAATTTCGATACAACCGTAGATATGATTTCGAGGGTTTACGTGTCGCGTAGGGGGAAGGGGGGGGGTGAATTCGATGCGTTTCTCGTTAATGATTTTAACCGAGCTATTAAATTGGAGTGCACCTGAGCGTACGTCCGGCAGCGCATCGCTATCGGTCGATATAGCTAAATTGCATTTCGGCTGATTAGTTGGGTCGGCCGGATTACCGAATGCCTACCGCTTTAATTGAGCCAATAATTCGCGAGAGCGTGTCGGTTTCGCCCCCTCCCTTCCCCCGAAAAAGAAAACTCGAATGTATCGGTTTACGCAGTCTTCGATCTCGAATTCGACACTGCGGGCGCGCGCGCGCGCGCGCAAATGTGCGTGTATGCGTGTATCTCGTGTTTCGAGCCCGGTGTGTGATTCGCGTTCGGAGAGAAGAATAATTTCCACGTCGCTCGCGCTTTATATTCGAAATGAAATCTCCCGTCGGGAGAATTCGCCGCGAAAAGGCGCGCGCGCGCGCGCGCGAACTCTTCTCGCCGTCTCGGCGGGGCGCTTGATAATCGCGCTTGATAATCGCTTGATATATATATATATATATATATATATATATATATATATATNATATATCGCTCCGCGCGTAACGCGTAACACGTTGGAAAATTGATTACGGCCCGGAAATAGACACCGCGACATATTATTAATTTCCATCGCTTCAACAGAACGTGTTACGCGGTTAATTTTTACGTAATGAAACCATATATACCCCTCGCTCGGCCGCCCGCACGCCCCGCCTCGGTTCTCCCGACGGGCGAGAGCGAAAATGTAAGAGGCGGCTCCTAGCCGATAATTATGTTTTACATACGTTAATTACCCCGTTACTTTCCTTCCGTTGTTCGAACTCGGCCGCTCAAACCGAGCACGTAACTCCGTAATTTCATTGATATCGCGGAATTCATTTTCACCCCTCTCGCACACGCTCTCGCGCACGGGGGAATTAATTATACGCGACATTAACACCGCGAGTGTGCGCGCGCGCTTTTATATCTTTTTTCTCGCTTTCTTTTCTTTTCCGTCGGTCTTTTTTGCCGGTCGATCGGAACGACGGATTTAGCGCGTCGTGATCTCGCGTCCGACCGTTGCGCGTCGATATATTGCTGTCGCTACCGACAACCCGATCTCACGTTGTATCGAGTGACGAGCGAGATCGTCGCCCGACGACGACGTCATTAATCGCGGCGAACGACGATTTCAGATGGGCACGACGTCTTACCCGAGCATGACCCAGCCGTTCTCCATGTCGCATTCAGCGTCGAATATGTCGGCCGTCACCGGTATGCGACAAGATGCAATGGGTAAGTCATAAATAATGCAACGCCACACACAGTGCTTGAAATGTGCGTGCGCAAAGTGAAGAAGTAGGACGCCGAGGCGCGTCGTCGTCGCGCTCTCTCATCCGGGTCAAGGATTATGCAAATCGGCGTGATCCCGCGTAAATATCCCGCGCGGGTATCTTTTATTCTGAAGATAACCGCGCGCTCGCTTCCTCGCGCGGAAAATCGATAGCGCGTCGTCCTCGCACGTCGCTCCGCGCGCGAACTCGAACGCCTCGGCGGCCGTAGTCGTCCCGATGATCGTCCGTTAACTTTTTGCATCCTGAGCAAACTTCTTTGCGACTCTCTCGAGTTTCAACGACGCAACGCTCGAGGTAGCGCTTCGCAGGATCTGCTTAAGTCGTTCTTGGGGAATGGTGGTTTTGCAATGGTTACTCCGGTGAATTTGCGGAGTTTGCTGGTAATAATTGAGTTACCGATATTGATGGCGATACCTACCAGATAATGTGCCGGTGACAATAGTTGTCAAACAGTATATTGATAATAACGGCTAGCACAAACGGTGTACGGATAAAAATAGTTGACGTGAGCGACAATGCATGGAAGAATATCGTGGTTTATTTTATGTGTTTTACATTCTTTTCAATTTCTCCGTGTTTCCCAGCGGTGCAGGAATCGACTGGTAGAGTTTTTACCTTGCTGAGGAACTGGGTAAATTTTCTAATGATAGCCTTCAGTTCCTGAAATAACATATGGCACGCATGAAACGGAACGGTGGTAAATTAATGAATGTTGCGGAATGTCGATGTGTTTCTCACTTATGAAATTCTGAAGTAATTTTTACCACGAAATTCTCCCTGTGTTCCACTGCTGTCAACACCACTAACAAGAAAGCGGACGGATCGACGAAATTAGCGGTCATTCTCGTTCAAAAGAATGTTGTATCTATAAATTGTGTGAAAAAATTACGCTCCGGCGCAACAATGCGCTGCATTGATACGGTTACTGACAAAATCACAATCGTTTGATTGATATATATATATGTTGTTATATATATATATATAACATATTATATATAGTCAATTATACTTCTAATTCTAGTAAACATTCGCCAAGGAACACTGGAGTAACCATTTTAGTCGGATCAAGTAATCACTTGAACCGCAGCGCTTTGTTTACTGTGTACTAACAATAGCTCGCAGTAATCGCGGCCATACAGCCTACCGTTGCCGATCCGATTAATATGCCGGCCAAGAAAATACGCGTGTCAATTCTCTTCCCACGAAATACCTCGCGACCTCGCGACGCGGCCTCCTTCATCTTCAACCGCCTCCCGTCGACTTTCCGCGCCGCTCTTCGGCCGCTGACCCGACGTTATCGAATGATTCCGCAAAAATCCGGAGCGGAAATGGCGCGAATCCGACGCCCGTGTGCACGAGAGGCCGCCGGCCCCGTCAGCCGGCTCCTCCAAGACGCTCTCTCCATTTCCGCCCCAGCGCCGTCTTACACCATTTCCGGCGCGAGATGGAATATCGCTTTTAAATCGAATCAAGACTATTCGCGAATTGCCTGTCGGCGGGGAGCTCGCGAACTTGCGAGCGGCTGCACGAGCCTCTCCTCGCAATCTCTTCGCCGCTCTTCTCCTTAACGACTTAACGTCTTAATGCGATAGCAAATCGGCCGATTAGCGACAGACTCGATCAGGCTCCGCGGAAAGTCGTTAAATCGAATCGCACCCCCCGGGAGTGATTCTTTCGGGAAGAGAAAAGAAACCAACTCCCCTGTACGCGCCGCGGCTGATACTCGGGCATTTTTCTTTATATCGCGGGGGTGGCGTCGCGCGACTCATTCGACCGGTTCCCGATCGTTGACGTTGCTGTTGACGGCTCGTATCTTCGAACGACTCGTATCTTCCATTTTCAACGTGACGCACCTTCGAAGCTAAACCTCGGTTTCAAATTCTGTTCAAGTCTGCAAAGTCTGCTTGAAATCGACCGAAGATAATCTTGCCATCCATTTGTTCGCCCGAAGCTTAGCCTCGCGAAAAATCCCATTTTTCACGCGATTCAATTGCTTGTTTCGCGAATATTATTGTTCGAAAATCATTTTTGTTAAGAAAAGAGTTACTTCTTTTGGCATCAAAAATCTTTCTGTACACTCCGCATGCGAGAATTTCGAAACATCTTGTGTATACATTTAATTCTCTAACGGTAAGGTGGGGCGGGGGGGNGGGGGGGGGGGGTCAGATTGATCCCACGGCTTTATTTTACAGCGTATACAGCGTTTACTCCTTTTAAAGATCGTTTCGCTTCTTTTATCCACCTCGTACATTGATTACATGAAAAATGAACAAAACAGGGAGGGGGGGGAGGGGAGTCAGATGCAATCCCCCACTTTCTTGGTTACGTTGAGAACCCACCTTTGATCATTAGAGGGTCAAAATTACCTCGAGTGTTGTGCTGAGCTCGAAGAGATCGCGCGTCCCGCCGGTGATCCCGACCGGCCGCAGCTCAGCCTGCGTCTGAAAACGCTGCGTCTGCTTTCGGTTTCCAGGTATGTCAGCGGAGGACGAGTGGTACAACAAAAGCATCTCGGCCCTGAGAATGAATACAGCCCACCACCCGAACCTGGCCGCACCGATGTTACAGTACCAAACATAATTGTAAACGGAGGCGGGCGGGCGACTCAAGGGAGGTCTCGTCAGAAATCGGACGGCGCACTTGTGACCGCAACCGACGTCGTGGGGGTGGCCGACGGAGGAAGCGGAGAAAGGGGCGTAATAAAATGACGAGATCGACGAAGCCCGATCGAAGGACCGACGTTTCGCCGTTTCGCGGACGAGGAAGAAAATAAGAAGGGAAGATAAGATCCGTGGATCCGATTCGCTTGATGGCCATCGCGAACATTCGCTCGCGTCGGCCATTCTGATTTTGCAGTGACACGTTCTCGCACCTCGCTTGCAAGCGAGAGAGAGAGAGAGAAAGAGAGAGAGAACGCTTCCTCTCTCTTTCTCTCTCTCTCTCTCGAGATCCCGCAGCAGCAGCAGCACGACAGCGACTAATAAGAGCCGCCGTCGATTCGCCTTCGCGATTCGCGAATTGTCCGTCGCGACGGTCGATCGCGTGCGAGGGAGGTTGCCAGCGATCGTGGAATTCTGCGATCGGTACATCCGCGACTGGACTTTTTCGCTTAGCGGCGATTCCCGGTGACCGATGCGAACGTCACGACGAATGAACGGAGGGCGGGAACCATACACCATGCGCTAAATTCGACGGGGAGTCGTCGAGAGGGAAAGGGAGAGAGAGAAAAAGAGAGAGAGAGAGAAAGGGAAAATGAGAAAAAGTACGCGACCCCCCAAGGATGCAACTTGTATTTCGTATTCGCGGATAGCGAGAGTCGTATGATTACAGAGCGTGTACAGAATGTGCGACAGCGCCTCACGTGCGAGAAAGAGAGAGAGAGAGAGATTCGTCGCGAGATCCGTATATTTTCTACGTGTAACGGGTGTTCGCGCGCTCTTTTCGCGACCGGTTCTTCTCGACGGTTCTCTCGGGGAGGACGCGTGCCGTAAGAACGCGCGCAAGCACGGCCCGCACAAACACACACAAGCACACACGTGTGCGCAAAACACACGCGAGAAACAGCCCTGCACAGCCGCGTATCCGGACCAGGGGCATGAAAACTCGCGCGCGCGCGACGCTTCGTTAGTCTACTCAACAACGATTCGATGCCGTTTTTCGTTAATCGGTGGGCGGTAAGGGGACGGGATTACTGTGTAAATAAGCGGAGCGGAGATATAGATACATAGAGGAGAGCGTAATCGGAGCAGATACTCCTAGCATATGCGATTTTTCAATGTCCTTTTAAAAGAGTGTAAGCATACCCTTAGTGAATGATATTAGGCATTGATTTGTGTGCTTCTGTTCACCACGATTTTGAATAAACAGGGAGCCGGAGGACGCGGGGGGAAGGGGGATACGGGGTGACGGTGATGGTGGTGGTAGTGACGGTGGTGACGGTGGGTGGTATCTGAGACGGTGTCTTGCGTTCGAAATTTGAGGGGCGCCAGGGTTTCTCCCCGTCGCGCACGAATTAACATGAGAGACAGAGAAGAGAGAGAGAGAGAGAGAGAGAGAGAGAAGGAGGGTGGAAGAGGAAGAGAGAGAGAATTATTATGATTATTATTAATCGTACCGCATCCCCGTTCCATCATGATTGAAATGAGAAAAAGATTCTTGCCGCGCGCTCGCGCACGCCTCATCTCGCGCTACGAGAACGAATAGCGAGATAAAACCGAGATCAGGCGAACGAGGTAAAACCGAGTATACGTTTGAGACTTAGATATTATTTAGAAGTATACTTGTTGTGTGTACGTGTGTGTTTGTGCGCGTTAAGAGAATGGGCGAGGTGTCGTAATAAATTGAAGTTACGCGCACACACGCACACGTACACACGCAGAGTCAGGCACAAGTCACCGTTATCGAAGCGACGTCGATTACCGATTACCATTCACGTGCGAGTCCTCTTTTTTTCTGGAGATTTCCCCCTGATTTGCGTGATTTTCCTCCCGAGATGTGATACGCCTGACGTGTTGTTAACGTACCGTCGACGCGTCGACGAAACGAGCTTCTGACGCGACTCGCTGCGCATCGCCGGGCGGATTTTCGCTCGTCGACTCGCCGTCCGTGCGATATGCTATAATGAAACTTGTGTGAATTTGTGTGCGATGGCATGTTCAAGTCTGCTTCACAACTGGGAAAGTATCCGAGTACGCCAAGTGGAGCCGGCGTCAGACGACGGATTGCGCCGAGAAGTATCGTTTTTTCGGACGGAGTGAATAATCTGGAACCTCCTTTTCATCCATATTTTCCAGTTGCTTTACGGCAAAGTTTGTATTCCTGACCGCAATAAATCGGCAGTGTGTGATTTTCCGCCTCAACCGACCGTTGATGGTAACTTAACCTTCTCCAAATTTTGTTAAACGCGCGTCTCGATAATTTATTTAATGACTTATTATTTATTCGAGAGGTAATCATTTGATCATCACGACGATATTACAGGAAGACGCGTTTGTTCGTCGGCGAGAATTTTCATCAAACCTCGGAAAGAGAATTAACCACGTTAATGATCAATTTGCACATATTTACATATGTTAACAGATCTTCCTCCGATCTTTCACGACTACGATCTGTCGACTGACTCGCTGCTGAAAATCACGTTGCTTCGCTCGTTAGACGCGCGACGTCGACTGCCGCGAAAGAACGTCGGCGTCGCTACGATTCTCGGCCTTGGCTGATCAAGGCTGATCAAGGCTGATCAAGGTCGATCGTACCGCGAGTGATACGGGGAAATGAGATCCTCCGGAGCGAGATCGTTATTCCGACGACCGACAAACGCGCAGGCCGACTGACACTCACGAGGCCATCTCATCAGCCGCGGACGGAGTGAAAAATACGAAAGAGAGAGAGAGAAAGAGAGAGAGGAGGGTTTGCACCCCGTCTCACTCGTCCAGGATTGAACTTCCAGCGATCGCCATCTGATCGTATTACTACTGTAATTGATACTGTAACATCCAACCTGTTCGCGTCGAAAGGCGAAAACTCCGCGACGACTGTATGTGTGTGTGTGTGTGTGTGTGTGTGTGTGTGTGTGTGTGTGATCATCGGGATGTAATCATCTCAGACGGACGATCCGCGGTGTACGTTGGTCGACGTCCGCCGTATCCGTCGTCGTCGATAATACACGGCGGAGACACTCGGTGATGAGAGAAGAGAGAAAAGAACGCGCCGTTAGTTCCTCGCCGTTGTTCGTTCGCGAACCGGTTGATCGTTACTCTTTCGCTCGTCGATCGTCCGGATGCTTTCCCGCGACTTCAAATAATCGAAGAGAGAGAAAGAGAGCCTTCTCCGGAAACACGGAGCTCTCGCGTTTGGACCCTTCGACGCTTCTTCGAGAGCTCCGCCCCCCCCCCTCCTCCCCCGATGTCGGAGGCAGGTGTGTTTGTTTGTGCGAGTATATACATAGAATTGCACGCGGAGAGCGCAAGAGAGAGAGAGAGAGAGAGAGGACGGTCCGCAAACATTCTCTCAACACCTGCGATTCGCCGCGACCCGCGACACCTCCCTGGCGCCTTTCAGTCGTGATATTCGGAGTCTGTCCAATCAACAATCGTCTAAATATTGGTGTCATTTTTCGATAACTGTCTAATCAATATATCGACTCGAGAGGAGAGATGAGAAGCCGCAGAGACGACTGCGCATTGTTTTTTCGTGTAGTTTCGCTGCGACCTTATTATTATCATCGCTCGCGGCATTCCACGAGAAATGTTCCTAAAGAGAAAAAAAGTTTGTAACATATCGCACACGTTACATTCATACGTGCACAGGATAAAAATGACACACACAAACGTACACATGTCACATACACACGCGACGTATGAAGATGCATGATATGCGTAGGCACGTATACGCGTACATGCTCGCGTATTCAAATTACAAGCACGCGCACACCACATACATACACACACACACACACACACACACACACCAAGTCACGTGCTGTGTGTCGAGAGGAAAAAAAAGTTAAAAAATTAAGTGGAAATGCATACCGGACGAGCGTAACATAGTTTTAAGCAAGGGTCACGTATTGTACGTATGTGTTGTACATAGCCTAAATAAAAATTACATTTAAAATTACCCTCTCTCTGTCTGCCTGTGTGTGTGCGTGTATGTGTTGTTCGCGCCTTCGATCGACTCGTCAATGCGAGAGCAAACGCGATGAACCGAGGTGTGACTTGCCAAATTCAGTTTTCTAATTTGTCGCTCCGCAACAATCGGAAAGTTCATAATTTTTATCTGTGTCAGCGAGATAGATCAGGTGACACTTGAAGACATACGGAAAAAAATTAGTCTTAAATGAAGAATAGATATTTTCATATATAAGGAAAAATATCATAATCGTCTTAGAAGACTTTTAGTCTTGATTTGATTGAATTTATATTGATGCAAGTATTGCTTGGACTCGATCTAAAAATCGTCTAAGAAGATTATAATATTCTTGCTTATATGTATATGAGAATATCTATTATTGATTTAGGGCTCATTTTTTCCGTGCAGCAATTTAAAATCGTCGATCAGGTTAATCGCTGAAAGTTATCCTGAATCAACACGGCTACTTATCTTTGTTTGCACACACACACACACACACAATTCCATCATTCATCCTCGATCACTGTCTTGATCCTCAGACTTTAGAAACTAAAGGTTCACGACTCAGTGGTATTTTTAGACGAGGTCGGGTGAGAGCTTGTGCTGTTTTTCAAACTTTATTCAAAAATATGAAATATGCCCAATTGATATTGTACAATTTTTATACACATTAGGAATAACGGAATATTAAACAGAAAACACTCAAAGTTTCCATGAATATAATCCAACGGAGAGACGGGTGAGTACCTTCCGGAAATATCTTTATGTATGTGTTAACAAAATGTATGTTAACAAAGTGTCGATCGAAATTCGCGTCCACTATAATTACACTGTATTCTCGGTTATTTCTCATTAAAGCTCCAACTGATAAGTTTTTTGAGCCATGTTTTCCCATGTTGGACGAGACAGGTCTGACTAAATAAAATACAGTCAACCAGCCTGCTCTTTGGACGACTAGTGTACGCCCAGAGGACGAGGGAGCTTTAACAAGAAATATAATAAAACGAAGTGCAGTCTCTCGTGTAACTATTGCGCCCGAACTGATCAACACACACGCGCAATAAATATTTAATTCTTGGCACTACGTATGAAACAGAAATCTTCAGTCATTCTCAGTCATTTTTACGGTAACGACAGACTGACACGATTATCGTTTTCAGTGCCGACAATTCTCGAGATAAATCGGATTTGTCGAAATCCCGCGACGGGAATAAATCGTGATTGCTTCACTCCAATATACCGGAAATACGTTAGCGTAAACTAACGTAGTATTTTACTTTTTTTCCCCCCAAGGCACACTGTACAGACATCGCATCCGTGACGAACGCCGCAGTTGGAAGTGCTTATCTCCGAAGTCTCTACTGTTCCTTCACGCTACTTCCAACTGGGCGAAATTTTCGCACGTGTCAAGGACGATTGTATGTAACATCGACGTCGGAAGCATTATACCCACACCCAATTCTCGATTGTTTCGCCATAAATTTACCGTGTTAACCGTATTTCGTTAAATTTATAGCATATTGCTCTCCGCTTTGGTAATAAATCATCGATCAATAAATTAAACCCTTTTGGTGTTGATTCGAAAGGAGATGCACTCGCTTGCCGTCAAGAATTTTTACAATGCATAACATCCTGCCATCCATTCACTGGTGCAAAATAAAGTGAAATAAAATGACTGATTCTTAGCAGAATAGGTGACCTCTTAAATATTAAAATACCAGAAGTGACCAGAAGTGACAATATTTTGTCAAATTCTGAGAGTAACCAAAACCGTTCGAAAAAAAGTAACATTTATTCTTACTTCTCCAACTTTAATTTTGGATAATTTAACATATAGCGAGTTCTTTTCATAGTACGATTTGAAAGTTCGTAACAAGGAAAGACTAAGGACGCGCACGATACACGAGCACGCTTTCGGAGCAATTGGTAGCAGATAAGAAGGCAAAAAAATATATATACACATAGAACGCCTATATTTTACAAGTTTAACGGCAACTCAGGAAAAAAGGTGACTATAGTTTGACTCATTTGGAGAGTAGTGAAATTTTGTAGTGATTTGTCGAGAAAAAATGTCAAGAGGTGACTAAAGCGATTGAATGGCAGGCAACAACCGTCGCCCGACTTGTACGTCGACGGCCACGATTTGTGTATTCGCCTTAATATTCTCTCGGAATTCGCGAATCTCTCGCGACTGCTGCTCGCTGACTGGTTCGCGATCGTTCGGGACGCGCGCCTCCGACCGCTGCAAGGCTCGATCAGCATCGGGAGAATGCCGATACGAATCTTAATCCTGGTCAAGTACAAATTTCATTGTATCGCGAAAGTAAAAGAGCGTAGAATGAGATCCCGGAATCACCCTTTGTCTGTGCAGTTGTCGAAACCAGTCAAAAATGGTCACGACGGCCACCGATCCGGCGCTCCTCGATTCCGCGCCGGAGGTTACATTATCTCCGTTTTCCGGCTGCTCAGGCTCTTCTTTATCATCGCCCAGTCCTCCAATATGTCCGTGTCATTGAGCATGTAGACGATATAAGGGCCCGCGACGGACACGGCGCGCCGTCTCTCCGTGTGGTTCCTCCGTCGCTTGCTGGTCGTGTTGAGCCACAAATCCGCGTGTATGTCCACGTTGTTCTTGTCCTCTTCCAAACGGCGGATCTTCTCCTGGAGGTCGTTATGTATGCAGTCCCAGACTATCGACTTCTCACTCTCGAAGTTTTGCAGGGCGGCCTGCTCCTCAGCGTAGAACTTGTTCAGAATATTGTTCAACCTAAATTGCTTTAAAATCCCGGCCACTTCGGTCTTCGTCTTCAGATTCTCCTTCAGTCGCTCTAGCGGTATCAGATACTCTTCCGACTTCCCCACCCGGACCTCCCCGAGTTTCGTGTCCACTTGTATGATTCTTTCTCGGTATAATCTAAGGTAAACATTGAGATATGTTTCAATCATTGACCTCCTGAGAGTCTTAACGTAACATTTGTATCGTCAGCTTTAGGTCGTTCCAATAGACTCGACGATTCTCACGCCAATCTCTTCTGTGGCAATCTTGTGTCGTTTCAACATGAAAAGTGGTTTGCATAAGTCCACTAAACAACTAAGTGACAGTGAAAGATGTATTAAACATGGGATATACTCACTGTTCCTTGAGAAGAGTGAACTGCCTCTCCAGATCTAACAAGTTTTCCATACACTCGTTCCGTCTCCGCTCACATTCATCCTCATCCATTTCTGACGAGTCATCGCTGTCAGTGTGCTCTGCGCTACTGTCACACGACACAGAGCTCTGATTACTGTCATTACTGTCGTGCGACATTTCCTCCCCTTCACCGTCCGATTCATCTTTGATGCTTGGCATTTATCCTTTGGGACAAAAACGGTGTTATATATATGTATACATGTAATAAATGTACATGCGTTTGTTTTTCTTATACAACACGTGGCGCAAAAATAGCGCGCGGGAACAAACAATACCGACGAAAAAGGAATCTTAGTACACGAAATACAGCGGTTTAAAGGATTCATAACATAACCTATATAGAATACGTGTTGTATTGACGCATCTTGTACTGATATTATCGAAAATCCTGGTATTTCGTGCGTTATTTTGCGCAGATTGCAATCACACGCGCCGAACGAAGTCAAAACTTACCTATATATTTAAGAAAATATACGGATTTGTAGAAACAACTTTGGATTTGTAGAAAGTTCCTCGTACGTATCGTGAAGCAGGAGCGAATGGACACTGGAAGCTTACACTAGGTTGTCATCGATACAGCGTAAACTCCCGCACTAACTGTGCGATGGTCTGAAGTTTCTTTGAACAATTTTAGAAATACCACTCGCTCGCTTTTGACACTTGTGACAAACTTGCGCAGCTAACCACTTGGAACTTGAGTGGTGTTTGATTACCGAAAGCCAGAAGCTCCGAAGCCACCATCCTATACGCTATTTCCCGGCAGGATTTGCGAGATAACTCTTTTTGAAACTGATAACCAATCGAACAGCGAGTTTACTTTCTGAGAAACTTCGCAATTAGCGACATTTTCGTCTCTAGCAATGGAGCCCTCCCATTGGGCGCTGGATGAAGTACTGTCTACAAATAATTGATAATGTATAAAAATCATAACGGAGAAATGATATTGTCACTAGTAACATTAAATTTCGTCGATGTCAACGAGATTTGCATTTATCAGTATCGAAAAAGTATTCGTACATGTAAAAATGTTCAGAAAGCTTACAGGACAGTGGAAATATGCTTCGAGCGGACCGCACGATAGTATTCCACCGATCCCAACGCTGTGGAGATTTACCCAAGTATTTAACAACTTTTGGTTTTTGCACCGAAATAATGCCATTTCGAAGCAACGCAAATGCAAATAAGCTGCGTGGGAATAAAATGTGTTGGAATCTGAGTGATTGATTGAGGTAAAACTTTTGTGACAAACACGATATTAGGTTAAATGTGATATGTCGATTGAAAGATCCCTAGAAAGAGCAAATGACCAATCAGAAACGTTGAGTTGAATCACAGTGTGTTCTTGATGGATGTATATTTCACCTATATTTTGGAGTACAGTATCAACTTTAGATTATGTGTCCACTTGTGTTTAAAACATTTTTTATTCGAAGCAATAATTATTTACCACCTTAATTTATCAATTACGTGTTGTTCCATTAAAATAAATAAATCGTCCTATTAATATTATAATATAATTTTTATTCGATTATAATTCCACCACTTGACATAACAGTTCGGTTATAACGTTAATATGTAATATACCTTAATGTGTAATGCAACGTTAATGTTTAATTATTATATAATTGATACATTTAGTTTTGAGCTACAAAATTACAACAAAATAGAAATTAATTATTGTTGCATTCAATTAATTTTATTCAGTGGAAGATAATCTATTAAGTGACAGCGAACAACTTCGATAACGTACCTAAAATATTTTACATGGAAGACAGAGATAAATAAATAAGCATCGTAAACGATCTAATATGGACATTGCAGAAAACTCTCAATTATGAGATGCAATAAGAGATTCTTGAGAAGAGTTGTGACCCGATGAAACAAAGTCTGAAACAACTTAGTCATCAAGAATTGATAGGACTAACTAAGGTAGCAATTGACAATGTTATTGAAAGTAATCCATTGTTCTCTGCATTATTCTCAGATAGTTACGATAGAAGAACTTACATCATAGGTAGGACAAGCTATAACTTTATTCTTAAATTGTGGAGAATTGCCAAACCTTGCAGTAGCATTAATGTTTGAGATGTTTATAATAATTTATCATTTATATATTGATCTATTTGAATCGATCAATCATCCTAATAATATAATTTTGCTTTCATTCATAGGTTCTACCACGTGACAAGACAGTTCTTGATCTTGAGAAGGCTATTTCCATGTTAAACAGAATATTGTGGGACTAGAACATATCCAAGGTGAACAAAAAAATAATATATGATATCATCATGAGAAGCATCATAACATACGGCAGTGAGATGTGGCAATTGAAAGATAACACAGAAAAAATACTACTGGCCTCTGAGATTGACTTTTGGAGAAGAGCAGCAGGAAAATCCAGAAGAGAATATATAACAAATGCAAGATTCCGTGAAATGATGAACGTCAACCATACAATGGTAGATAATATTAGAACAAAACAATCGATATGGTACGGCCATATACAACGCATGACCGAAGATAGACTACCTAAGCAGATATTGAACTGGACTCCACCAGAAAAGAGAAGACGAGGAAAAGCTGGCGGGAGGAAATAACAAAGGAAACGAGAGAGAGAGAACTTGAGGAAGACCTATGAGCTGATAGGGAAAAATAGCAGTTGGGTATCGGAAAACGTAGAACGTTATGAACCGATTGTATATACATATATATATTCAGAAATATCTTACAGCATATTTACGGTATGAATACGACAAAGTAACTATACAGTTTGAACAATTGTGTGGCTAATTTCATACAGGATCCTAAGGTTCAGACATATCTAATAAGGCATTTAAATGCGTTGGCATCCAATTTGTACCGTTGTGGCACACAAACAGTACGTTGCCGTCGATATATGCCTGGACGTTTCCCACTTTGTACACTTGTTTGGCTTCTTTGTATCTGTTCGGGATCGGCATGAACAATATACCACGTTCTTCGCACTTCTTTTGCACGAGATCCTTGAAGCCCTGCGGGATCTGCGAAGCGGTTCGCACTGCCTCTGCGAGTCTCTGCGAACAACACATTCAATATGCAACCAATTATAACACCATGTATTTTAAGCATAGCGCTTAACGCTTAACAATATTATACCTCTATTCGCGGCTGCGCAATCGGTGCCATCTGTGACATCGTCGGTTGGGTTCTCTCTAAGCTCGTTAGATACGAAACCTGTTCCAATGCGCCAGGTTGATGACTTTGTGGCCCCGTGACGGCTCTGTTCATCATGTCTAACGCTTTCTTGAAGTGCTCTGGTAAATCATATTTATATTTCGTCATATATTTCAATGAATAAAGTTGTGAGGGAGCAAGCGGAGGATTTGCGTCTGTAGATTAACAGCGTGATACGTACCTTTCACTGCCGGCTCCGCTAGTAACTTGTCACTCAACATCCCCTTCCAACCCATATACCAGGTTGTAACTTCGTCGTAATTGGGCGAATGATTGAGCCAAAGTGCCAGGACCTGCAGCCACTTGGGAAAGAAAAACTTATCGAGCAATCCTGCCATAACGTGAGGCGGGATCAAATCCTTCCATTCGTACACCCAGTTCCACTGATCCAAATGCTGTTGATGCGGATTTATAACGAATTCGGACAAGGCTACTTGCAACTTTGGAATTATATTCTTCACTAAAAATGCTTCCATGTCTCCCTTGGCAAATACCTGCGCCCATGGTTGCAGCATTAACCTAGCGGATCTATCCGACGGATGCCAACCTCCTAAAGCAGATCCAAGTTTTCTGCGTATTATAGGATAAATTAGGGTATCCAAACGATTTCCTGAAGGAAGTTATGCGCAATTAATACTAGCCTGTCTGTATAATCGAACGTGTGCATACTGATTAATACATGTTACATATGTATACTCACGTAATAATGGCAACCAAGGATGAATCCATGTATGGATAGGCACAGTGTCAGTAAGAGGATTCCATTCTTCCACCTCTAATGTTAATTTCGGTAACACTAATAAGTCCAGTATATTTTCCAAAATCCAATTAGGCAACAGTGGCATCCAGTGCTCTATTAATTCGATTAGGGGTTCTGGCTGCCTACATGTCCATTGCCTGCACATAATTCACAAAAAAAATTAAGATATGAGATTATTATGTTGTAATTAAAGATTCGCTCTTCGGAATTATTGTGTAAACCAGTATACTATATTAGTACTATACATTAGTATTATATTAGTAGGCTATATTAAGCGCGAGCGTGGCATGATAGACAGCGCACCGGTCTGCCATGCTATAGAGGTCCCGGATTCGATTCTCGGCAGAGCCAGAAAAATTTGCATGCGCTCGTGGCTCCTCATCGGTGATCCGGCAAATCACCAAGACACCATACCTGCCATACATGCCATAAAAACCTCTCTCCAATTGCAATTCGAAACCAGCGTTTAAACTGTAAGTCCCGTATGCATGTGTACAATCTGCGTGTGCACCACATGCATACGCGTGAGAGAGAGGTAGGCCTCTACAACAGGCTGGTAGCGCCAATGGAAGAAGTATATGCTATATTACTGTATGGCTCCTCTGATCGATGGCATCCATGCATTCCACACCAATTGATCATATGGATGCATAGCTCGAGCTTGGAGTGTACTACTAGCTCCATTTTCCAAAATATCCTTCCACACTTCAAACAATTTAATTGCATTCTTCGGCTCCATCAGTGGATTCCAACTCAGCAGACAATCTTTAATCTTTGGGGCCACGAAACTACTAGCTAATTCACCAAGCTCGAACATTTTATACTCTTCATAATAATTGTCTTTTAAATTTTTGTAAGCCTCCGCAGTCTCCTGTAGCGTCAGCTCGTTCGTTTCATTCATTAATCTGTCCATGATCACCAACACATTCTCCATCGTGTGAATTGATTGGCTAATTTGATCGATGACTTTTGACTTGTTCTTCTTTTCTGCTTCCAGCGTGATCACTCTGTCGTTTAAATACCTCGTCCGCCGATCATTTTGAATAATATCTTGTTCGCACATGCTCACTTTTAAATTTACATTATGCTGTAATTCAGGCAGAGAAAAATTTACTTTAGTCTTCTTATCGGACGTAATAACAATCTCGTCGGGACACTGCTGGCCACCGGCTATCGCATGATACCCGCTGAGAATTCTCTGCTCTGGCCCTGTCATATCGATTACTTTGACCTTGCTCATTTCACTCGACACTGGAAGTTTTCTATTCGGTTTCAATTTTCCATCTTCTAAAACCTGATCTACACTTTTGTAAATATATCTCGTCTTCTTCTTATTGCTATTATCACTCTTTCGCCATTGGGATACTTTTGACTTGGATTCTTTCGCCTCTTCTCCATCGTCATCCTTCTTTACATCTGGAATTTTAGGTGTTTTCTCGGGACCATACGCACCAATCGCGCCTCTTCCCTTTCTGAGATGTGCTTCCACTGGTGCGCTTATTCCTTGCAACTGTTTACCTAAACCTTTACCAGGTTCAAATCCCATCTAAATGAAGAATATTACCATTTATTACCGTATCACTTCGAGAGAATATATTAATAAATAATAGGCTGCCTTTTTTTTTGTGACATACCTGTAGTAACAATTTAGCACCGATACCTTTTGTATGTACTTCCCAACTACCCATTCCACTTTTCAGCAATAATGGGTTTACTTGATTTCGCTTTTTACGCAGGCCTGCGATGTCGCTCTCCAAATTCAAAGAGAAAGACGATTGTGATTTTGAGTTACTTGACCTCTCATCTTCTGAGCTAAATTAGTCAGATACAAATTTATGTTACTAAGATTATACTAGAAAAGCAATGGAAAATTTGTAGGTGTTGCTTTACCTTGAATCATCTTGATATTTAGATTGAGACTCTTGTGTCTCTTCATCTTCCTCCTCATCGTTATTTTCTTTCTTATCTTTTGGTTTTCCTGCTTGCTGGATACCACCAGCAACAAAATTAACAGGTGTTGTATAGTTTTTTGGTCCTTTATTAAAAGTTTTGAAAGATGGTCTGGCAGATAATTCGTCTTCATCACTGTCATCAGCCCACATCCCTGTGTTGACAAACAAAGTAATTCTTAGGAAAGTCAAATATTAAATTAAATTTTTAAGAAGTATCATCAGTATTCATATTGTACATTTTTCCAAACACACGTATCGCTCATAATTTTCAGTCTCTTTAATTTCCCTCTCACTTTAATGCAAAATATACTATACCTAGCATTTGGCCTTGGTTAGGTGGCATGAGTGAGAGTGTGTGTTGTCTGAGAGAGCGTCTGAGATTTATATATAATTTGGATTGTAAGAATAAGTTTGGCGAAACTAAGAGATAAGGAAAATATAAGGGAATAGATGGGATATCTATGGAGATATGGAGGGGAAGTAGTCAAGAAAGGTTTAATAAATGTTATAAAGGAAGCATGGAAAGAGGATAGAATATCTGAGGAGTGGAAAAGGAGTATAATTGTACCGTTGTATAAAAGAAGAGAGGTGGATATAATGAATTATAGAAAAACCTCATTTCTGTGTACAGCCTATAAAGTGTACGCAAAAATGTTACAAAGTAAATTGAAAAAGGAGATAGAAGAAAAAGATTTGCTGCCGAAAAGTCAAGCCGGCTTTAGGAAAAGATATTTTACTTTGGACATTTATATATTAAACCATATAGTACAGAGAGAATGGAAAAAGAATAAAGAGGAAAAGAGAGTCTTTGCTTTGTTCATAGGCTTCAAGGCAGCTTTTGACAAAGTAGGTAGGGATGAACAAGGAAAATATTAGAAGAGAAAGGAGTGAATAGGAATTTGACAAAAAAAAATGAAAATGGTTTACGAAGGAACGGAAGTGATAGTCAAGAGAAAGGACGGACTAACAAGGAAATTCACAGTGAAGAAAGGATTAAAACAAGATTGTGTGATGAATATAACCCTGTTTAATTTGTACATAGTGGATATTGAAGGAGAATTTAAGAAAAGAGGAATAGGAGGTATAGCCTTAAGAAAAGAGAGAGTATGGGTATTAGCATATGCGGACGACATGGTGGTTTTGGCGAAGAACTGGTCGGCTATGCTGGATATGATGGATACGTTCAAAAGATTTTCGAGGAAGAGGAAATTAGAACTCACTGTGGAAAAAAAATAAAGATTTTGATTTTTCATAGTAAGAGAATAGGAGGGGATGGAGTATGGAAATGGGGGAATAGGAAAATAGAGGAAGTGAAAAGTTTCAAATACTTGGGTTCGTATTCAATAGGAAAAGAAATTATGTTGATCACATTAAGGATCTAAATAAGGAAGGGAAGGGAGTATGGGGAATAGGAAAGGATATGTAGAAACGATTTTAAGAAAAGATGGATACTTTTTAGATATTTAGTACAAAGTATGATGACTTATGAAGTGGAAATATAGGGGTGGGAGGCAAAAAAGAAATGGAGAATGTTATATTACATTATGTGAGATGGGTTTTTAGATTAGATTTCTGCATATCGAGGTACTTAATTTTGAGAGAATTGGGCTTAGAAAAACTAAAAATCAGATGGGGAATCAAGGCGCTGAAATTCAAAAAGAAGGCTAGAGAGAAGAGAAAGGAAAATTTGGTATGGATATATTACGCGAAAAAAGAAAAAGCGAGAGAGAAAGAGCTGTGTAGCAGAAAAAAGAAAAATACTATAATAGGAAAAGTTGGGATTTAAAGGCTATAAAAGAATTAAGAGCTAGAAACATAAACATAGAAGATTTTAGAAAGAGAAAAAGATATTCAGAGATAAATAGAAGAAAGTAAGATAAGGAAGGTGAAATATAACAGGAAATGTAAAGAAATAGGAGAGAGAATAGAAAAGCCTGGATATTTAAGAGTGAAAAACTTGGAGAATGTAAGAATAGGAGAAACAGTGAGAGCTTTGATAAGAATAAGATGTAGAAATATGGGAGAAGGCAATAAGTATTGGATGAGGGAAGCGGATAAAAGATATAGATTCTGTGGAATGGCTTTTGACAAAATGGAATATAATATAGCAGAATTTAGGATGGTGAGATATTGGTTCAAGAATTTAGGAAAAATTGTAAAGAAAAGATTAGAAAGAATCTGGAGTGATATATTAGATAAGGAAAAAGGAGAAGTAATAAAAAAGTTGTGGAAGGAGAAGGAAAAAAAGAAAAGTTCAAAGGAGGAAAAGGATAAAGAAAAAAAAAATAGTAAAGGTAGGAATAAATAAAGTAGCTAAAGCACAAATATAAGTGTAAATGTAAAAAAAAACAAGATATAATTAGTAGATAATAGGGAAAGTATAATATTAGAAAGTAGATTAAAATAGGAGAAATAGATGTAAAATATATAGAAGCGAAAGTAGTCTAAGAATAGGACAAAGAGGCAAGTTGTTCGCACAGAAAGAATTGTAAGTTTTATTAAACAGGCAGCAATCTAAGGTAATTGTAACTTTTAAACAAGTACAACTTTTGTAATATGAAAGTGAGTTGTGTAATAATGCGATTTTCGTTGTTTTCTTTGGTCTGTTGTATGGTTTGGTCTGATATGTAGTTTATTTTATTATAATTTTATTGTATTATAATTTGGATAGAATAATAGTAGAAAGCATATAGAGGCTGTGAGTGAATGAAATGGTGTGGATGGATGAATTTTAGAGCAAATGTAAACCAAGTCCCTTCCTGGCATTGTAAGCTGAAGTAATAAATATATATACTATACCTAGCATTTGTTGTTTCTTCGTGAATTTGCGTCGAGGACGGGCTATATTAAATTCATTGTCTAAATCATAATCAGTAATTTCAAAGCTTTCTACTTCATCCTCAGACATCTTGCTCCTTCTTTGTATTACTTGATATCTTATTTTGTTTTAATTACTTTGTTTCGTAATCACGAGTAATATAATCTTATGTCAACTACTGAAATATATCTAACCATAGTATAAGTCAGAGCAACAGGTTCACTTCGTGAGAAATGGTCCTAAAGTTCGTCTCTCGCACATGAGTTCTGCGCATCTAGCAATTAGTCGGTTCTTTTTAGCTGAACTGACTGCACTAGTCGAGAAATTTACAGACACTGAAGCGTGAGAATCTCGTACGAACGTTTTATATGTTTCAATGTGATATAAAATTTTGATCTGTTCAGCCAATTCAGCTAAAATAAACAGACTAAATATAGCGATCGTTAATGTGTAGGAATTACACAATATAAAAGTAAAGTGCAGTCTAGTATGTCCGACACATAAGGCATAAAGTATTATACGTGTCATATAACGTGCTTATCGGATATATCAATTGGCTGTCGGATAGAGAATTTTTAGGGAGCGTTTGAGGAGACGCTATTTAGCGCTACCACGTCATTCATATCTTTATTGTACATGTAAAGAGCAATAAAGATAGGATAACGCGATAGAGCTAAATAGCGTCTCCTTGAACGTGCCCTTAGAGTGTTTAGAGAAAATGTCGGAGACATTAAAAATTATCTATCCGACAGCCAATGGGCACGTCCGACAATGCTCATACAACACAGGTGAAGAGGCTTTTTCATGGTAACGTCGAGCATTCGAACCAATCAGCAGACAAGCGTACTCTGTCGATCCAATCAGCAAACAATTCGTAGTCTGCTGATTTGCTCCGACGCTTGACGGTATCATAAATTTATCCCTTAATGCTAGCCTAATAGAGGATTCAGGTTGGAATTACATTGTCGTACGATGAGCTTTGTGCCGATTGGCTGCCGGATAGAGAAATTTCTAGTGCTTCCTACATTTTCTCTATAACACATCGGCTGATAAGTTCCCGGTCTGACACACAGATGGCGTTGCAATCGCTGAACCGATGCTTGTTTCAATAAATACCATAGAGATATAAGAATAGAGGGAACAAGCCTGTAAGTGGAAGTCATAGAGGCAAAGAGAGAGATGGATGCCGAGGGTCCTATCTGTCTCTTTCTAGTCACGCGCTGGGATTGGCTGCCGCGCCAACGACGATATAGCTATACATTTTTCTTCATCCAATTCAAAGAAACTGTCATTGCTAAAATGATCACTGCAAATATATGCTGTTTTCACTTCAAAATACAAAGGTAGTTGAAGTATATTCAACCATTTACGCCTTATATCTACATCCTTCGGTAGCCTACAACATTTACATATTTTTTTAAATGTAGGAAAAAATAACATATAATTATTTGAGGTTACGTATTTGTACTTTCTTACGAGTGAAAACTGCGGTTATATCCAGGATAAGACTCCGCCTTGCATTTCAAACAATGCCTTAGCGACTCCAAAAATCTCAGGATACTAAATTTGATGAAAAATAAATGGGAGGAAAAATGTGTTTCAAAGGGTTAAGACGTAAAGAATAATCAAATTGATTAACCACAGTTCTTTATTAGAATAATAATCGATCGTAGTTGGTTTATTTACTGCTTACACTTTAAAGCAAGATTGTGGACAAGGGATATTTAATATATTAAGACATGGTTTCTGGTTTAGTATTTATAGCTTAAAGCCTATCTCATTGTCCACAATCTTGCTTTAAGACGTAAGCAGCAAGCAAATTGACCAACCACAATTATTCTTCTAATAAAAGATCGTGGTTGGTCAATGTGATTACTGCTGATATCTTAAAGCAAGGTTGTGGACAAGGAATTATATCTGCGCAACGACGATATAACGATAACGACATAGTTGTAAGTTATAGAATATATAAGGGGATAAGATAAATGAGTCCAAGTACTGGAATACTAAATCTACTATGACTACAATAACTAGAATTACATGATAATCGTATAGCTAAATTCATTTTAAGATCTAAAATACGATGTTCCATGATCTTTCTTCATAATATTTATAAAAATTATAATAAAAATTTTTTGGAAAGTATGCTAAGCTTCAAAAGATAAATTTTGAGAGTTGGCTTCTTCCAAGAAAGTAAGCACGTTCTATCACATTTTCTATAGAAGTTTCCTTCTCACGCCCATTCTTTCATCACGCGTTCGTAATCTTCTTCCTCAATGAATGGTTTGTCTATCGATCTGCAAAAAATATCCATCATCATGTCAGCTCTCATCACGCTACAAAATTATTCTCAAAATATATAATTAAATATATAATTTTGGAATTCAATATTTCATAATTCAGAATTATATACGTTGTAAGATATAAAAATTTTAGAATTTTATTACGATTAAAAATATCAGATTTTCGAAATTCAAAAACATGGAATTAAAAATTTTAGGATTTAAATGTACCAGATATTTTATGAACTTTTAGAATTTGTGAGATCAAAAATACACATACATCTATTTTCGGAAATAATTTACATGACAATGAAACAAATACGCATAATATATTACATGGTAAATTTCAACAAACTAAAAGATGTTTGCCTGCATACAAATTTTTAGGCGAACTTTTGATATTTTTTTGTTTATTTCATCAAATTTATAATGTTTGATAAACATATTTATTTATACAAGGTGCACCATTTTAATTTCTTCAGGTCTTCTTTTCGAAAAATACGCATTTTTGAGAAAAATGTTTCATACAAAAATTGTAGGATATCAAGGTGGACAGATAATGTTGACATTTGCTTGACTTTACGAAACGTTAAGATCAACACAAAAATCTTAAATAGAACTTTATGTTTAGCATATCTTTATGTCATAAACTTTATGTCATAGTATATCTTTATAATTGATATTGAGACGTTTCTGAAACACTGATTATAAACCTTTTTTCTATAAAAATTTTCCCAGTTATGGGAGGTGAAGATTATACTACCGCCGGCATTACCTAAGGTATACCGCATGGAGATTGCACGGTCAGATTTACACTTCGTGCGTACGTGTATGTGTATCAGCAGAGATAAAGACTCCACAGTTCGCCAATCCCGTGATATTTAATGACTCCAAACCTTCGTGCGTGCGTGCGTGCGTGCGTGTGTGTCAGCAGAGATAAGGACTACATGATATGGTTCCACACACACACACAAAACAAGTGTAAATCCGACCATGCAACGTCCACGCGGTACATCTTGAATAATGCTAATACTGGCAATAGTGTAACTTTTAACACGTTAACTGTCACGCGCATTTTGGAGGAAATCTCCGTCAGGCCACGCGCGCTGCTTAGAAGTGCACTGGTATAGTAATGCCAAGCGCACATCTAAGATTGAAACTCGATGCAGGGCCAAATGCTTATAGACATTCATTCAACACGTATAGCGCCAAGTTTGTTTTGTCTTGCTTATCGTTTGGCCCGCTAGATAAGATTTCGTGGAAATCGATTTGCGGCCGGGGATCCGTTTTATTTTATACTGTCAGTCACTGGCGACTGACGCGGCCCAAACAGAAAGTTCAGTGTCAGTCACTGGCGACTGACGTGGCAGTTAACGTGTTAAGTACCATAATTGGGAAAGTTCTTATGGAAAAAAGTTTGTAACCAGTGTTTCGGAAACGTTTTAACGTCAGTTAAAAGGATATGCTATGAAAAATAGAAAGTTCTCTTTAAGATTTTTACGTTGACCTTAACACGCTTCTCAAAGTCATCGCAAGGTCAAGCAAATGTCATTTGTCCCTACTGATATTTTTGTGTGAAATATTTTTTTCGAAAATGTATATTTTTCGAAAAAAAAAGGTCTGGAGAAATTAAAATAGGACATCCTGTATACATTTAAATAAAATTGATGATTTTTTATAAATCTCTCTCTCCATATTTCATAATTTAAATATTACAAACTATTTTGTACATCTTTTATTCCGTAACGATAAATAAGATTGTAGTTATTCAGTTTACCTAAAACACAAAAATCAAATTTTTGATCTATATGAATATGACTTTCGCATGAACTAAAATAAACTAAAAAATAAATTTAATAAAATGGCGACTATTTTAAAACAAAAGTTCGACAAGAAAAGTCAAACATTTTGTTTTATGTTATATTCATTTTATTAAATCTTTTTCGTTTATTTTAGTTCAGGATAGCTGTATTCATATAGATTAAAAAATTCTTGGATTTTTGTGTTTGAGATAAATTGAGGAACTACAATTGTATCCACCGTTACAGAACAAGAAACGAAACGTAACATTTGAATTATGAAATATAAAGATTTACAAAAATTCAAAAATATTATTTAATTAACACGATTATAGGCTAATTCATAATTTCTTATGTTTTGAATCAGTTGGTGCCGCTCAATAAAAATATATATGCCTGACCTACCGATGGATTAAATCAACATGTACGTGATATGTTGAATACTACATGATACGTTAAATATGTATATAAATTCAATTTATAAGTTCAATAACTTAAACAAAATAATAACTTAAAAAATATCAAAGTTCACCGAAAAATTCGTTATTTAGAAATTCGTCATTTAGTAATTCGTCATTTAGAAATTCCCTTTAATGCTAACCAGTAAATTTAAAATCAGAATTATTCGATAGTAGTCAAACATACTCTATCATAAGCTCTCCGCAATAGAGGCACTCCGACGCGATCAATTCGTCAATATCTGCTTTGATCTGATCCTTTGTGGATAAGGATGCAGAAGCCACTGACGTAGTATCTTCGGGCCGATTCGAAATCGCCGTAAGCTGTCGTTGTAAATCCGCTAATTTCGTCCTCTGATCCATGGATAACATCGGCGTCAATGCCGCCACTAAACAATCACTGTGAAATTTATGGCCGCAAGGAAACACGTAGAACGGTCGCAATAATAATTGCACCTCGCATGTGTTACAAGCATCCCTTGCATGTACGAAGGTACATCTAAAAAGAATATATTTACCATTAGATCGGAAGTCAAAATTCTAACATAATATTGTGTACAATAACGTTAAAATAACGTTAAAATAACTATTCAATTTGCACTTTTATTTATAAGAAATTATACAAAATGATAAATTATTTCGAAAAAGTTTCCCATCAGTACCTGGATCTAAAGACTTGGATGTCCTTTCTTATTAGTTCCGCTGCTTTTGTGGCTTCTTGCATGTCTTCTTTGAGATCCTGTATATGCTGATTATACTCCTGTTACATTAAAAAGATAAAAGAAAAATTTATATATAAAGGAATTCTTATTGTTTAAAATTAAATTTTTATCTTCCTTGAAAATCATATCTATTTTAGTTATATGATAGAATATGTATGTATGTATGTATGTATGTATGTATGTATATATTTTTTTATTATACTTTGATTGTTTATAAAGTGTTTATTAAATATCATAAAATATCATACAATTTGCTTTCAATGTTTATAACGAACTACGTGAAGTGTGATAACATTTTTTTGCGACACCCTGTATATATATAATAAATTGCGTGCACGCATACACACACACACACTCCACACAAACACATACACACACAAAATCAGTACAAAAGTAACAAGATAAGGTTATCAAAAAGTGAATATTTTAAAAGATATTTTTACACGGAGTATTAAAATAAAAGATATAAAATATCTTGGAAAGTATTTACTTTTTAATTATCTTATTCTAGTATTTTTATACACATAATGATTAGAGAAATCGATTTATGCTAAAAAAAACCATATGATTTTATTTAAAAAATTCAAGTTGATCTGATTTTGGCCATATTAAGATTAAATAAGCTCGGTTGTTAAATGCGCCTATCTAAACTTTACAACTTTTGTCTGACGTGAAATATTTTTTTTTCCAAAATTAATTGTTTTCGAGATATTCGACTATTTTTGAACTTTCAGTAGCTATATGTACCAAAATTATGTTAAAATTAAAAATATAGAATAATAAATATCAATTTTGAATATAATAGACGCATATATGTGTCTGACGAATTTCTTCGATTTATACCTCGAATCTATATAACAATACATTTATATAACAATTAGACTGCTAACTACCTTTTTTCATGAATAAAAATAGAAACTAAAAATAATTTATTTTATATATATATACAGGGTGTCCCAGAGCAACCTTACCAAAATTCATGGGAATATAGAACGGATTGAAATAAACATAATTCCTATATTGTTTAACGATATTCGCAATAATTATAGAGATATAAAAATCGCGCGCCACCCGCATATGTATTGAATAAGAGGAATTTATATCTAGTTGTTTGAATATATGTAAGTCAATGCTTACATGTGCTTACTTGCTCTTGTAGATGTAGACATCATATTCAACTAATCATAGACGTGACTCTCATATCTGATATCATATCTGATGATATCTATATTTTTAAGTCTTATATTTCATGCGAATTAGCAGTCTAATTATTATATAGATGTCTATGTTTTATACTCTCTCACACAAGCAATAGTTATCAATTGTTGCAATGTATACTTATATTAATGTGTCTTAGCGATAATAATAAATAAAATTTCACTATTGCCTGGATACATTGTTTTCGATTTTTGAAAAAATTATTTCTTTAATTTAACTTACAACAGTCCAAAATATTCTCTTCTCAATGATCATTTAACTTTGAAGTGTTCCGCGCTCAAAAAATTGAAATCAATAATTAAAATCCAATTCGGAATCCGATCGTACGATTTTAGGCTCAATGAAGGTTTTAATCCTTACCTGCAGAGAATTACAAATAGCTTCCTTGAAATGATCGATTGTGACGAAATCTGAGAAAAAGGGTAGGATATCTTCTATCCTTACAAGATCGCAATGTTGCAAAAATTCCATTGCTTGCTGTATGTCGTCCTTTTCTCGTACCACATGTTCGGCTATAAAACAGATAATATGATTCAAAATTATGATTAAACATTATGATATGATTAAAAATTATTTGTAACAAGTCATATTTATTTAGAATAGGGATTAAAAATTATTTGTAACAAATCATATTTTTATTTAAAATATTAAATGACTAAATATATTCGTAGATTCACGGGAATCGGATTCCTCGACGTAGTTACGAAAATTAATTCTGAATTAACAGCAGATAGCGAAGTTACCTATCTTCAACCAAAGTTTCTTCCTCAATTCGTCGTCATGATCGGATGGCATGGCAGCAATTTGCTTGGCAAGATCCACGCTGATCGTAAGCGCGAGATCCACAGCAGTAGTCCACAAACCGAGCAAAGCTGACAATTGCACGCAGGCTTCCATCAATTTAACTTCCTGACACAATCTTAATGCATAATGCACGTCATAGTGCACCATACTGATATCTTGGCCTGGAAATATAATATCAATAAATTAATTCAAAAATACTCTCCAGTGAATAATTTGCGGTAAATCAAATTAGACGAATGTGAAATTGAATTCTACCCCGACTGCGCGTTCAGTCAGAAGTCACCTATTGACAATAAAGCATTTTCATAAGTTTCAGAAATAATACATGTACCCAATGTAACATGTAACCAATTCGTAGAATATGTTATATAATCATCTTATATTAAAAAACAGTTGATGTACTCTTCTTGTACTAATATATCACCAGAACACGTATGGACTCATTCGGAATTGATTCCGATAGAAATCGCTCAATTATACCCTATAAAATACAAAAGAAAATTTAGGAAATGACTAAAAGATTCCGATCGATTCCGAATAAGTTCATTACAGGTGCCCAAATTTTTCTTGACTCAGATTGGCTCGATTAAGCCGATTCCTGTCCTTAAGGCTCGGCATTCCCCGCTAGCCATATTGGTTTTGTGACGTTATAAGTGAGAAATAACATGCGGTAAGTGCGCTTTATATAGCTTTATTTTTTTTTTATTTAAGCAGCCGTGATAGCTAAAATAGCTGAAAAATGACCAGTTATTTCAGAAATTATTTTGTAATTCTATGTGACATATCAACCAGATCTCAATTTTCTGTACATTTTGCAGATTTCAGGATTACGAAATCATTATGTTTTTCAGGAGAAACTAAAAAATAAAATATAACGCAAGAAATTTACAGCATGTCATTTCTCAGTTATGATGTCACAAAACCAATATGACTAACGGAGAGGGCCGAAAAGATTTCTTCATAAGATTCCGTACCTTGAGAGCTAATATATCGCATCACTTCGTCCTGTTTATAACGTGCATATAAAGACAATAGAAAGTTATGGATCGCTTGCTCTTGCGAGCCTTGCTTGTACACGCAGAATTCCAAATATTTTATGACTTCTTTTGCCTGTCACAATAATATTTGGTTATATTATCAACAATATTTGTTAATTTGAACAATATCCATTCAAAACTAAAAATAAATATAATTGCAATTCGCTCTTTACATGTTTCTCATCGCTGTTGCACGAGACTAAAGCTGGTAAAAGTTTAACTGGCTTTAGCAACGAGCCCTGTGAGATCAAGGCGGCCACCGTGGGTCGTGGCAATTCCTGCAGCAAAATTCCAGCGAATTGATAAAAAAGATTCTTATTATTTTGAATCTTAAGTACCCCAAGTGCTCCTATATAGTCACTCTTGTACAAGTTCTGGCGAATCACTTCCTCATAGTTACGGTGCATTACTGTCAAGTTTATCAGATTGTCTTTGTCACCGTGGCTTGCCATCAAATCGTATATCGTGTTTCGGTTTTTCATGATGCACTCCTGCAATTAAAATTTTAAATTAGTTCAATTAGAACCGACTGCAAGACATTGTTTTAATTGTGGGAAAATAATATAATAATGTGAAATAAAGAGTGTAAATGCCAAGATTTTGGTCTAACGTACATAGCAAAGCCACTTTTCACGTCAAACCGATTCTTATGTATCCAAATCTTATAATTCCTTTACCCACTTCCTAAACGGAATGATATTTGTATATTATTGATTCTTACTAGTGCTGCGAAAAATATTGTCTCAGTCAGAAGCCAAACTTGGATCTCCTTACTTGCCGAGTGTTGTATTGATTCGAGAATTCGACAGTATTCTTCACATGGAAGATGAATTCGCTGTGTACGTTAACAATCTTGGTGAGTGCATTTACAGTGTCAGACGTTATTATCTTCCCACAGTTTAAATTTTACACGATCATCTTGCAGTCAACTTTAATTGGCCAAGTATTCGCATCCTACGCGTTTCAATTAGTTCTTGTTAAGATAATAAATTAATTAATTTCTGTCTTAGCAAAAGCATATAGAAATATAAGAAATGTCAATTTATTTTGCAAAATACCTCGACTTTGGGAATAGCGAGAAACTGGTCAAACTGGTTCTGCAGTTCTATGTACTGCGGATCGTGAAGATAGGATGTGTTACTGCTACGCAAGGTGCCCATTTGGTTCATGAATAATTCCGTCACCCAAATAACGATCATCGTTATCTGTGTTTTATCTTGCGTCTTAAAACCATCGAGTTTCTAAAAATAAATATATAACCATATATAATATATGATAAATATATAAAGTATATATAAATAAATATATAAAAGTAAATATATATAATTATGTTAAAAATCTTTATACACTAAAAACAAAATAAATAATATATAAAGAATATGAAGAATTAAAAAATATGAAATATATCTCCAAAAGTAGAAAAATTGAAATAAAGCAATATTAGAAACAATATAATTCTTATCGAAAATAAATGATCAAGTTGCAATTATATCTGTTATGAGAAATAAATTTGCTGGACGTTACTTATTCATTATTAAAAGAGTAACCTTGCGCAGAAACGTCTTCAGGGCTTCAATTTGCCATTCTTGCAAGAATTTTAAAGATATTTCCTCGAAAGAAGAGTGCGTATCCGCATATATCAGTGCACTTTTCTCGTATCTGCAAATTCATTTCCGAAATATCGTAAGGAAAGTTAAACATTTTTACAGAAAAATATTTCACAAAATTTACTCTTTGTTCTTGAAAAGCATTTCCGCTTGTTTCACGAGCACTTGGTCAACATGCGCGGGGTTATCCTTACAGTATTGCTTTGCAAGCTCAAACTCATTCTTGTCTACGTACACCTAAAATATAATACCTAAATATATCTGTTCATAGATGTAATCATATTCACATGTCTTGTGTCCCTCTCTCCTTCTTTCTCTCTCTACCTGCCAAACATTCCTATCTTCTTTTGTAACTCGGTACTTGAAAACAGCTCGCTCGCTGTAAGCCCAAATTGATCTCGTCGCGGGGTCTTTGGTGATGCCAATCAATTTGCCGACTGCCTAAATGTTAAGCCATATGTAAACGATAAGTGTTTAATAACGCGCAATACAGCATAATTAATTCGTTAAGATAATTACAATCACATTGATCACGTACATCATTGTAAATATCTTCAAATATTAATTCTTGGCTCAGCAGCGATATGCTTTTTACGTGATCTGGGTACAACAGTAACGCATGAAATTCCGTCAACACGAAAGACAAGGGCGCTGAAATAGTTTGCGACACATTGCTGCCCATGAGACTTGTTTCCGGGCACGTCAGCATTTGCTGATTGATCAGAACATTGTTTCCTTCAGGTTTTGCATCTACCTAAAATATATATAATCTCACATTCTTCGTCTATTTAGAAATTCGGCTTAAACAAATAAATACAATAGTAAAGTTGTACCTGGGCATATAAAATACCAGTTTCGGTCAACCATCCGAATGACTTTGGTAAAGCACCCAAAGAAGGATAATAAAACTGCATCTTTGAATACGGCAGAGAACTTATCACTTCGCTGAAGCTCTCTGTAACAATTACGTAGTTATTTTTTGTTCAAACAAATGTAACAGCAAAATATTGGGAGTACAAATTAGTTCGGTCCGTTTTCAAAAGATGGCTCTGGATGTTATGAATGTTTCATAGTGACAGCTGATTTCGGTGGTTTCAGAGAGGATAGATATCTGTCAGTAATATTCAATTTATATCGCTTTGAGTTTCATACAAAATCCCTGTTTTTTACTGTGTTGAATATGTCAAATTTTGTGTTAACTAAGCAGCATTTGCGAGAGGTTTTAGTTTTCTGCTTTAATTGGAAGAAAAGTGCAGCTGAAGCGCATCGAATGCTTGTAGAAGTTTATGATGACAATGCTCCAACTGATAAATCATGTAGGGAATGGTTTCGACATTTCAAGAATGGTGATTTCAGCGTTGAAGACAAGCCTCGCTCTGGACAGCCAAAAAAATTCGAAGATAAAGAATGAGCTGCTACAACCTGGCGATTCCATTACGGGCCATCGGTATAGGCTACAATTGATTCGTTTGAGCCGTGCGAGAAGAACGGCCGGAATACGAGCAAAGACATGACGAAGTTATTCTTCTGCATGATAACGCTCGGCCTCATGTCGCAAAAGTCGTGAAAAATTATTTGGAAACGCTCAAGTGGGATATTTTACCGCACCCGCTCTATTCGCCGGACATTGTTTCTTCTGATTACTGGTTGTTCCGACGGATGCAGCACGATTTGGCAGGTCATCGATTCACTTTTTTCGCAGAAATTGAAAACTGGTTCCTAACTTGAATCGCCTCAAAAGACGAGACATTTTTTCGAGATGGAATTCGAAAATTGCCTGAGAGGTGGGAAAAAGTAGTAATCAGCGATGGACAATACTTTGATTAATTTGTTCATTCATTTTGTTCTGAAATAAATGCATTTTTGACCACAAAAAGCGGACCGAACTAATTTGTACTCCCAATAAAACAATTATGTCATATCAATATTTAACCCTTTGCACTCGAGGGCTCCGGAGCGGAGCCATTTAAAATTTGTCTTCAAACTCTTCAAACTCAAATGCAAATAGCAAGAGCGGAATATCCTATACACAATAGTTTTTACGATTTGTCTTTGTCCTTATGTTATGAACTGAAAGTTATTTGCATTGTCTCCATAGCGAAGCCCTTGAGTTTGAAGACAAATTTTAAATGGCTCCGCTCCGGAGCCCTCGAGTGCAAAGGGTTAATTGTGGTTAACATTTTCTTGAACTTTATCACAAAATCTTTAGAAGTGTTTCTCAGAATTTAAGAAAAATATTTTCTTCGTAACTTTATACTACGGTCCATATTCCGAACATTTTTACAACGATGTCAGCGTGTTGACAAATCAACTTATTAGTAATTCTGAAAAAGAATTTTGCTATAAACATACGTGATTATTGATTTTTCTTAACAGAACACTGCTATCACCGCATCTAGAATAGCGATACTGAGAATGCTCACATTTTTTGTCTTGTTAACGTCGTTGTAGGCACGTTCAGAATACAAGCCCATTTATGTATTTTGTTTACCTTGTGCATTCAGATATCTGTAGAACACTTGTTGCAAAAAAGGCTTTTCCTCGGTATTAGCAATGGCACCGATGTATTGATAAATGCGCATAAGAGTGGTTACGATTATCATATACTTGTCAGAATTTGGTAGTTTGTGAAATTCTATTCCAGTGATCGGAGGTTTGCTATTTTTCCCTATATCGAATACCTAAAACCATTATCTTTTAAAAAATATTCCATATAATATCTTTTATACAGGGTAAATGACTAAAAGTGTTACAGATTAATATTTCTGAAACTTAACAAGATATTAAATTATTATTTTCCAATGACTGTTTAGTATCGAAGCAAGCATTGTGTGATGAAGTTAATTTTTTTCTAATCTACATCTTCAAATTTCACTTAAAAAACGAACTTCTGTTCCAAATCAATGTCATTTATCTATTATAAAATATAAATGGGATCCTGTATATGCGCAGTTCGGAACTATATAAAGATCTCAAATATTTCTTGCAAAATGCATTTTAAAGAAAAATATTTCAAACAAAAGTAGAGCATTCGAGGGTGACATAAGGTAGTGATCTTAATGTAGTCAATAATTCAAAGCCATTTCAAGGTCATTTCATTTCCTTTATTAAAATCATACAGATTTTTTTTTAACACGAATCGATTCTTCTATTCATGCTGCATATAAAAGTATTAAGGTAAGATCATCGTAAATATTTTCCGAGATATTTTATCTTATATTCTAATATTTTTCAGTATACATGGTATGAAATATCTCATAAAGTATTCACTTTTCAATAATATCACCTTAACACTTTTATATATATAATGACAGGTGGAATCAATTGCTGTAAGCAAACATAGGAAATCCTTAAAGAAAGAATTCACTGTATTTTGTAAATGCATTGCTATAATATAGTCTGTAAGAAGTTAGCCCTTCATTTTTCGAATTTATTTATTTTGACAGTTGTGCTAAATTTATGCTACATTGTGCTCGAATGATAAACTTGTAATATGAAAAATGCGCGAGAAAAATTAAAAAAAGGTTTTTTGCCTGCTCCCCACTTTTCAATTTTTGTAATTTTTTTTAATTGTGCTAAGTTGTACTAACATTGTGCTAAAGTAATATCTTCGATAAATAATAATGAAAGAAATAAAACGAAAAAAACGATTTTGGTCATCCGGAACAAAATTAACATTTACATTCGTATTTGTTAACCAAACGATATCAAATTGTATATCTGATTTGTAAAAGCACAAGTCAACACAAACTTCAGTTTCGCTAGCACAAGGATATTAAGGGTACTTTACTCTTGACCGCGGCCCTTCGCGCTCGCAGTCTATGTCCCATAACCATTTCTAGATTTCGTATCGACGTAGAATTGTATATCTGAGTTGTGCTAGCTTAGCACAAGAAATTGATGTGACCTTAAAATGACCTTTAACATGATCATATACAGCAAGATCAAGATCATTGCCATATATCCCCCTCCATACCCTACAACTTTTGTCTAAACATTTTTTTTATTAGACCTCACTCTGCGAAAATAATCGATGTGATCGATTAAAATGGGACACTCCATATACCGAGTGTTCTGAAATTAAATGTCAAAATTTCGGGTGCATATAAGGGATCGATAAACTAAGACAAAAAGTCACTTAGAGATTTGCTCGTTTTAGTTTCGTTTTAAAGGAAACAGGAAAGGATCTCAAAATTCGCCAATGTTTGTAGCGACACTGGAAAATTTATAAGAGAAAGATAAGAATGTAAATATAAACAAATTAAAGTCAACAAGATACTGCCGTTTTGCTATGAATTCGTCAGTTATTCATCAGAAGGCTTCACAAGTACCCAATAAAGTAAAAATGAGCCGGTCTCTCGCAGCTTATTAAACGTCAACGTAATGACTCATCGATCCGGCATTCTTCTGTTTGGAAATCGATGTACATACTTTTGCACCGCCTTTGAAACATTACTGTTACAGAAATCATACATGAAAACCATATCGGCATATTCAACGTTAGAATATGTACGCGGCATATTGTGAAAGGTGTACTTGTGAAGCCTTCTGATGAATAACTGACGAATTCATAGCAAAACAATATTTTATTGACTTTGTTTATATTTATATTCCTATCTTTCTCTTATAAATTCGTCAGTGTCATTACAAGCAATTTGGCAAATTTTGAGAAATGATTTTTTCTGCGATTCCTTTCAAAACGAAGCAAAAACGAGCAAATCTTTAAACTATAACTTTTTGTCTTTATTTATCAATCCCCTATACGCTCCCTAAGTTTTAATATTTATTTTCGGGACACCCTGCATATTATATATATGTGCTACCTGAGTACATAATAATATATTTTACGATATTTGTTGAGCTTCCTCATATATTCTTTGATGTTGTTTAAAATATTTATAGGACATCTTATTACATAGGCGGACACTTATGAATCTGCTGGATATCCAAAGGATATCTAAGATCTTAGGATATTCTATGGTTATTGTGATATCCTAAAATGATGTGTGTAGGATGTCTCTCAGATAAAGCTGTGTGGGATGAAGTGTGTTTTAAGAAGAATAAAAATGAAAACGATTTAAAAATAAAAATGAAGGTGATAAATGATTTAAAAATAAAGATAGCATAGAGATTTCTCATCGCAACGATTCAGGAGGTCAAGCATAGTCAATTTTTTATTCCCGACTGTTGTCAACCGAAAACCGTCGGCATAAATGGAGGAAGTATAAGTTTTACCGATGCATCTATTGTCACACATGTTTGCAATAACCATAATATAGTTCGAAGTCAAGTTTCTCATATAAGTTTCTTATATATTCAACTAGGTTTAGAACATAAAATAATCACTAACGTATAATCAAAAACGTTTCCGCGTTCTGTGTGCAGAAATCATTCAAATGAAATATCAGCCTTCAGTTGAAATAGTAACTAGAATTTTGATTGACTAAAATTCTGGATCTTTGTTAGTAACTGTTGCTTACAACCAAATTTATCATCATTTATGTAGCCTTTTGAAGTATACATCTAAAGCAATATCCTAATTATATCAGATGTTAATCCTAGTGTAAATTCTTCATTAAACTAAACAACATTGATGAATAAGGGCTCAGATATAAAAGAATAGAATAGAAAGAATGGATTATACTATAGGTTATTCTTACTACCATATTCCTAATTCTCCACATTTAATTTCTTATTCTTTATTTCTTTTATTGTGCCTGAACTCTACATTTTGACTATATAACTATGGATTGCTAACCGGCCTTTCTACAATGTAATGGAAATGATCCCATTGTTTAAAGCACCTCCTCGAACTTAAATAATATATTATGAGTTCATGTGTAACATAAAACTTGTAGTCTTTGCAATTGTTGGTGTAATATTTGCAATTGTTGATGTCTTTTATCATGGAATTATCAGATATATATTTTATAAAATTATTTTTGTCCTTATTTGATAATTGTAGGTTAATTTTTTTAATGCTAATTTAAAAATAAAATGTTAATTTTTTAAATTTTTAAATTAATAAAAAAAATTTTTTTTTTAATGCACATCTTTTATCTACTAAAAGTAGTTCTGTATTCTGCTAAAAATTGATAAAGCGATATATGATATATATTCCATTTCTTTCTTTCTTCTTTTTTTTACCAGCGGAATCTTATTTTATGTTTCGATTTGTTCGATGCTGTCATTTAAGCGATGGAGACGCGTTTCATGTTCATTATAAAGCAAGCTATTGTGAGAATAAGAAAAGTGGAGATAACCGGCAGTATATAGTTATATAATTAAAGCCCATCACTAATATACTCACGTAATATATGTGTATTCGAATCTTTTATGATTATCTTTTCATTTTGTGATAGAAAATTAGTAATTATATTTAATTTACAGCTAATTTATCTGTCGCAAAAAGGTAGAAAAATGTGAGATATGCAATATAATGTATAAACGATAAATATGCAAAAATGGTAGAAAAGAATGCAGAACTCACCAGTCCTCCCACCTCTTTTGTACCATAAAGAGGCAGATAATTCGGAAGCTTTGTAAGAGAAAGAAACGATAAGGAAAAAGATTAAGAGATTAATGTTATGAATGAATAACCAAATTGATATTAGTTAATGTGTTAGATATAATATAGAGATATAACGATTTTATCTGTGCACGTGATCGTAATGCATACCTGACGCCAATATTGCTCCAAACTAGTATTAAAAATTTTATCAGTCTCCAATCCAATTTCTGTCTCAAAAATCAGGCCCTTAGAAGTACCCAATAAAATGAAGCCTGAACTTGTGTCCAAAGTATTGGAAAAGTTCCAGCCGACAGCAGTGATCTCGTGGCCCTTGAACTTACTAGCCTGCTTGAGCTTTGTTGTCTTCCTATGTAAGTAATACAATTCAGGAGGAGGACCATTATCTCCATATCTTGGCACTAATGTTATGAGAAGGTGATGGCCCAATGGATCCAGGAATAAACCAGACATTTTCATGGTCAGCATATACTTGGATATGTCGATTTCTATGAGCAAGAAACATCTGATATTCTTTATTTATTAATATAGATGTAAAATATTTGTGAATAAAGAGTGCACTTTTGTTAATATGATATATGTTTGTTATTTATATTCGTATTCATAATTAGAATTTGTAAAAAGCATATAAAAAATAATATCACAATAATAAATATCATGTAAAAAGCATAATCTACATGTTATATTTTATTAGAGATTAAATATTTAGTTGAAAAAATAAATATATAATCCCCGATAAAATAGAATAAACAATAAGCTACGAATTACCTTCAGTCTTATCAGGCTGCTTCATGTCAATGCGCAGTAAAATATTGTTTGCCATAGCAATTACAATTGTATTGTTGCTGACAACTAAGTGAAGAATTTTGTCGGATGGAAGAAAGTTGACTTTCTGCTTAGTGAATATCGGGCTGTCATCTTGCAACTTCATCTGAATAAAGCCTGCTGTACTCTGTCAAGTTATTTACTACATTATTTACTACTCTGAAAAGTTATTTTATAACTTTAACAATTATATTATATACAGGGTAAGAAAAAAGTATGGAAACCTCGAAAAATCTCGAAAAATATAAGTTTTTTTAACAGAAGAGTATCTCGAACAAAAGTTGTAAGATTTAAAAAGATCTATTTATTCATCTTATATATTATTGATCTTATCAGTTTGACCTTGGATAGCATCGCCAGGACAAGATGAGTTTTTTTAATGTGACGCTCTATTTTTTATTACATATTTTTATAGCCCTCTTTCAGAACATTATAATAAAGCTTCTATTGGTTAAGAATTTCCTAAAATATTTTAAAATTTATCATGATATTTTTTAATATGAAATATCTCGTAAGAGGAGACCATCTAAGGCAAAATCGGAGGAGGACCTACCTTTTCAAAACAAAACAAACAATGGAAATGCTCTAATAATTAAATAAAATGACAGCCTGATATTCACCAAATAAAACAAACAATGAAAATACTCTAATAATTAGAGAGCTACTCAAAATAAATTATTTTCACAACTACTCACAATCGGTTGTTTTCATGGCTACTCATTATCAGTTATTTTCACGGCTACTCAAAATCGGTTATTTTCATAGTTATTCATTATCAGTTGTTTGTACGGCTACTCCAAATTAGTTATTTTCACGAAGCCTCCTCCTTTATTTTAGGTAAGAGATATTTCATATTTTATATTAAAAAGTATCATGACAAATTTTTAAATATCTCAGAAAATGTTTAACCAAAGGAAGTTTTATTATAATGTTCTGAAAACGTCTCAACAAGGACCGTAAGGATATAAAATAAAAAAATAGGGGAAGGAAGGTAATAAAAATAGGGAATCACATTTAAAAAATTCAACTTTTGTCCTGACCTTGGCGACGTCATCTATCTACGGTCAAACTAAGATCAGTAAATAGATCATTTTGAATCCTACAACTTTTATCCGAAACACTTTTCTAGAACTTATATTTTCCGGGATTTTCAGGGTTTCTATATTTTTCCTCATCCTGATAAACCAAGTACTGTTCAAAATTTTTCTATATTCTACCATATAAAGATATAAGGCCAATAAGAACGAATGTTGGAACAATAATTGAATTTACAAAAAGATAATGTTCCAAGTATAAGTGATACACTGCGCCTATGCATTTCATCAAATTTTTGTAATATTTAAATTATTGATATATTTAAAAAATATTATTTTTTAAAATATTATTAAATATATATTTTTTTTAATGATTAGATTAGTTTATATACAGAGTGGGGGCATTTAAAATGAAACACCCTAATATAACAAAAATAAAAAACGTTTCAAACAAAATTTTTAAGGTTTGGAGAGGGACATAGTATACATTTAGTGATCTTAACTTCGTATTGTCAATAATTCAAAGTCATTTCAAAATCAACTTCATTTTTTTTTTAATGTAATTATAGTTTTTCTTAATACAAATCGATTTATCTGTTCATTCTACGTATAAAAATACTAGGAGATTTTATATGTTGATTGTAGAATAGTACAAGGTTTAGTAACTTTTTGTTTACTTCAATCTGTTCTATACCCTCATGAAACTTGTTCCTATTAGTCTGTGACACCATAGTCAGTCACAGTATGGTTGCAACACTTTTTTGTTTAATGAGTTTTAAGAAAATGTATCTCCTAAAAATGACTAAAAAATGAATTTTCTTATTAGACGCAAGATACGTTCCAAAGTTCATAAAAAAAAGTGTTGCAACCATCCTGTGATTAACCGTGTATATACATGTATTGTTAATTAATATCTAGCAACAAACTTACAATATCTGGACGAATTGGTGGTACAAGCACTTGTTTGGAGCGCTGAGAAGCCTGCTCGTACTGATCAAACATCGATGTCATCTTGATTGTTTAGTAAATCAGTCTAAATTGTAAAGATAATATTAAAATAATCGTCATGTTTAAAATGTCAGAATTTAATAATACCTAGTATCATAAATAAAAAGATAATGTAGAATAATACAATATATATAATGAAAATAATAACATTACTTACATATACTTCTTAAGTATATATAAATCACCTAACCTAACTTTACCAATTATATTTCGAAGTAATACAGAAGAAATGTGCTAAAAATTTCGAAATTTTTAAGATACAACTGACTCCTTTTAATCATGGCAAAATACTTCAAAAGGTATAAACATATTTATACAATAATCACTGGATATCAAATTATGCTTCATTTTATCAGCAACCGATATCAGCTGATTCTCTTTTGGTCTGTTCTTTTCAGCTGCACTGCTGAAATGATGCAATAAGTTGGAGTGAGTATATGTTCTCTCACTTCAACTTACTGCACTAATTCTGCAGTGCCAACCAAATTTAATTTAATCTTAATCCCCAATCCGTAATCTGATACGGGCTTTAGTTCTAGTCTACAGTAGATGCTTTAAGCCTTGAGAAATTAAGTAATCACAATCGAATTATAGAAGAATAATCAATTGTGATTGGTCAATTTTTAAGGCTTAAAACCCTATTGTAGACCGATACATAAATATAAGATCTGACTATAAATGCCGGCCATAGAAACACTTTTTGGTGTATTTCATTTAGTGACACAAGTCGATACAAGCATCATCCTATCTTTGTTATTCATTGAATGTCAAACAATCAAAATGATATTTGTGTTGACTTGTGTCACTCAATGGAAAACACCCTTTATCTCTAAAAGAAAGTTCAAAATATGGGCCTATGAAAACTGGACTTACTAGTTTGTTCATGCTTCTACTGAACGCAACCAACCACGAACTTTATGCCTTACATCTTCCGCTAGGTGGCGCAGGAATGTAAGAATTTGGTAATCTGTTTGTCCATCTACAACCTATTAACCGTTTCTTCTTCTCTGTTCGGATCCTCTTTGGTTTCGCTGACCTTAAGTGCTCAGAGTCCCTCCTTGCAACATCTTACGTAGGTCGCATTCGTCTGGATAACAGGAGTGGTTCTACGGTTACGTGCTTCTAAAGTAAGTAATGCGGTATGCGAGGAAAATTGCGAGCCGGGAAATCGTCGAATCAGTCGCTTACGTCACGCACTTGCTCGACCGGTTTTCCACAATATTTAATGGCCTCGGCCATATCATCATGGTCCATACGTCGCGCGCGCGCGATCTTAACCTCTGAATCAGCCGCTTGGCATTACGTGCGTAATCCGCGCGCGTGACGTGTGTGTTTTTAAGGTGCGACCAATATAATGGCACGGAACGACGCGCAGAAGAGTCCCAATGCCGCCATTTGTTACGAATCATATTTAATGGACTTTGAGGTCAAGTGTCGGGGCGCGTTGTGACCATCGCACGCTTGTCCTCTCACATTTCTCATACTTGCATATTAATAGATCGAATCGTAGGGGAGGGAAAATCTCTTGCAATATGCTGGAGTTTCAAATCATATGCACTTTCACAATGCCCGAGCACGTTTTGCAAGTTTTTACAACTTATTGGTTATTTCCCAAGAAAAAAATGCTTTTAAATAAAACATACATGAGACATCTTCATTATATTTCACCCATGCTGAAATCTTAATTTTTATTTTTTCCAGAAGGGTATTGTATGAGTCAAAAAATAGAAAAACCGATATTATCAGGTCAACGTATAAAGACCAGAAAAAGAGGTAAAAATAATTATCTATATATTGAAAACATGCAAAATTTCTCAAGGATATCTGATTAACATAGCCATTGTTGATAGATGAAAGAGAAAAGTACGATCCAACAGGATTTCGTGATGCAGTTTTGCTTGGCTTGGAAAAAGCTGGTAACGACCTAGAAGCAATTTCTAAGTATTTGGACGCGGCTGGTTCTAAGTTAGACTATCGTCGATACGGGGAAGTACTATTTGACATTTTGATAGCTGGAGGTCTTTTGGTTCCTGGTGGTTCTATTGCTCAAGATGGTGACAAACCAGTTAAAACCAGTGCATGCGTGTTCGAGCAGCCAGAGGATATGGATTCTATGCGGAATTTTGAACAGGTAAATATTAAAGGACAAGTTTATCGACTATTCTTCATAATTATATTGTTTTAGAAGAAAAATTTCGGATCTTGGGTAATATATATATATATATATGTGTGTGTGTGTGTTTGTTAATAAACAGGTCTTTATCAAACTCATGCGACGATATAAATACCTGGAAAAAATGTTTGAAGAAGAGATGAAGAAAGTCTTGGTATTCATAAAAGGATTTTCACCTAAAGAACGCATCAAATTAGCTAGAATGACAGCATTATGGATCTCAAACAGTTCTGTTCCACCTACAGTACTCTCAGTACTGATCAACGAACACCTGGTCAAAGACAACTTGGCATTGGACTTTCTTTTAGAGGTTTTTGTCACTTGGAAGCAGGAGAAAGGTTTATCCAGTTTAATGACGGCTCTGAAGAAAGGAGGTATCGAAGGAAGGTATGTAACAAAAAGCTGTAAATATTAAATATAACTTCCTTGAAGATGAATGTACATATAAAAGAAGATAGCAAAAAGTTCGATTCCAATTAAATATCAGTACACAGTATGTATTTGAATTGACGTAAAAATTGATGATGTGATGAACATTCTTACGATAATGTTAACGTGCTAACAAGATAAGAAATGTGAGCATTTTCACTTTTATTCTAAACATGGTGATAATAATGCTCTGTTAGAAAAAAAAATCGATAATTACGTATGTTTATAATAAAATTTCTATTCAGAACTACTAAATTGGCTTGTTAACGTGCTAACATTTTTGTAAGCGCGTTCAAAATACAGGCCAATGTTTTTAATTGGTTCTTTGCTTAAAAATCCTTCAATTCCAACAAGTAGAATAATATAGCTACCAAAGAGATGGCAGGTTTGTTGAACAACATGGCACATGATTGATTGTACTTTAAAATAAATAAATGTTACATGGATTTTTTTATTAAAAAGCGAACTTTTGTATTAATCTAATATAACAATATTATAATACAATTTATAAACGATTGAGTTACATTGTTATTATTTATTACTTTGTATATTAATTTATTTTCTACTTGTGTAATTATTTTAGACTAATGGAATTTGTACCACCAAATAAACGAACGGAGGAACATTTTCGATCTGTATTCGAGGCAGTAGGCTTAGCTGATATTGTGAAGCTGCATAAGGCTCAGGCAAGCCAGGAAGCCAAGCGGGATCTGCAGCAACTTCTTTTGGACGATTTAGCGGATAATAGGCCAATGAAAGACATTATATTCGATCTCAAAGAAATGGCGCAAAGGAGCGGCATTCCTGAACATGAAGTAATTGGTTTGGTAAGATTAAAATTTTCTCTTTTTAATGTACAGTTTAAGACTCATAAGACATGAATGCCGATTATTCCCGTTTATAGATCTGGGTTGTTGTAATGGGACAAGCCGAATGGAATAAAAAAGAAGAATTAGTCGCTGAACAAGCACTGAAACATCTCAAGATTTACACTCCACTGTTCGGTGCTTTCACAACCACTGCCAGATCTGAACTCGCGCTTATCCTCAAGGTCCAGGAGTTCTGTTATGAGAACATGAACTTTATGAAAGTCTTCCAGAAGATTGTTTTACTCTTTTATAAAAGTATGTTGACACGTGCATCGGGAAAGTGTTTAAAATTTTTATCAATGTAACTAAACGTATGACTTTGCAGCGGATGTTGTATCGGAGGAAGTAATATTAAAATGGTACAAGGAGGGCCACTCAGTCAAAGGTAAAATGCTCTTCTTGGACCAAATGAAGAAATTTGTCGAATGGCTGCAAAATGCTGAGGAAGAATCGGAATCAGGAGAGGAGGAGGATTAAAAGCATTCGAGTAAGTTTTATTAATGAAATTCTCTTATATATGTAATTAATTATGTCTCTTAATGCGACTTCCTTCAACAGAAGGACGCATCATTGCCAGAAACAAGAAAAATTGACATAGTCCCGAATTTTTAAAATGGGTCAACAATTCAATATCAATCGTAAAAGACACGTGAACATTTGACAAAAAAAAGTTATAAATAAAACATAAGTCAATGTTAGGTACTGTATGATGGAGATCAGGTACAAGAAAATAGAAAATTTTTAAATCGTCAATAAACTAACACCCAATTATCAGTGTGAAAGATGAACTGTAAATTTGCAACGTCTTTAAATTGTATTACTTTAAGAAAAAATATTTTGTGTTACATTTTTATAACTCCGCTACAAAAATATATACAGAGAATAACAAAGAAACTATAAGAAAAAGAAGGAAGAAATCTTTATCCCCGTGTACGTACAATTTTCGGATCCCTCTTTCTTTGTATGATAATATTGTACTAGTTTATAGAAAATATACTGTCAGGTAGAGTATTTGGTGCCCGATGTTTTGGTGAATCCTAACTTCCTTGCAAGTAGAATGGACAAATTTTTCCAAGGAGAATCTCAACGCATATCATGTTACATCGAGGTAATATTAAAGTGGTACGAGGTTTTTTTCAGTCAAAGAAAAAAATACTTTTTCTAGGCCAACTAAAGAAATTTATAAGTCTGTATCGTCCGATTTTATATATTTAAGATCGTGTTCATCTTCAGATATTTAGTGGCCAATGAAACGTATGGTATCTAAAAATAAATTTGAGACGATCTTAAATATAAAATCTGACCATAAATGCATTCGTAGAATGCTTGCAAAATTCGTCGAAAAACCAAATCCACTATCGCACGATTTGTTGCAACTGAGAAAATTTGTTCAATCTGCAAGTATCTTTGGAATAACGCAATGATGATACGATGGTCGTAATTTATTGTTATTATATTTAAACATCATTTTCACTTAAATCTTGTTTGTACTTATAAGTTCTCATAGTCGCGACCGGTTGCTTCCTGATGAGCGTTTTACCTTTCATCAGAGGCACCAGGCTCTCCGGCACGGTGATACGCGCATGCTTCGTCTGATAAGATTCGCATAATGCGATCAGCATGCGAGGTATCGCACAAGCGGTCCCGTTCAGCGTGTGCACATGAGTCGTGCCACCATCTTTGGTCTTATGTTTGATGTTGAGTCGTCTCGACTGATAGTCCGTGCAATTACTGCAACTGGACAATTCGCCGTACATCTTTCTTCCAGGCATCCAGCCCTCCATATCTGACTTTCTGAAACACTCACCTTTTCGTAAGAGGGTAGTTGCAAGATACGCTTGTATTAAACAAGAACAAAAAAAATGTGTGTTACAAAATTTTCACAGGCTTTATGGAACGCATGATATTAATCTTGTCCTTTTATCTATTTTTCAGACGAATTTCGTGAAAATAACCTCTTCGATTATTGTACCTATAAGCAGGTGTACCCAGGTCGTTTGGAGGCATGTCCATTACCCGGAAATGCAGTCCCAGTGACGAGAACAGCTCTTCTTGCACATTTCGAAGATCATCGAACGCTTCCTCGGATTGGTGTGATTCGCAACAAACAAACATCTCTACTTTAGTGAATTGATGGACCCTGTTATAAACGAATGAAAAGATAAAGTGGCCTTGTCGAGTTTAATACTTCTTGGTGCTTTTGCCCCACCTATAGATTCCCCTTTGGTCCATACTGGTTGAGATCTCCGCGCGGTAGCATCGACTAACAGCGGCTAATTTCACCGGTAATTCGTTGCAGGAGAGCGTGATGTTTGCCATTCTACCGGCTAACGCCATCTCCGCGGTTCCGGACAAGCTATAATCGTCTCCGTAATGAGCATCCAGATTATATACAAGGGTACGACCGCCATCTGTTAACAACCCACACCTCTTGATTAGTTCAGTGGGAATGATGTCGGGAACAGATAGCAATTCGAATCCATTCTGCAGCAATTTCTTCACTGTGTAATGGACTAACGCTTCTTCCAATTGTGCCAAGTCTCCCAAGAGCATGTATGCTCTTTGTCCGGCGATAGGTCCTAATCCTGTTCTTATCAATCTCAGATGATTGGCAAGTTCCGAGAATTCTCGAGGTTCAAAATCGAATTCTGGCTTTTTACCGCATTCCTTTAGAACCTTCGGCGTGTCGCCGTATTCAAGTACCGCGGGATGTGTACAATTTGGTATTTTACTCAATTCCTTCGAGAATAATTCTCTCTTTTCAGACTTATCCATCAATTCGAGAACTTTGTCGATATCTCCGAAACTCTTTCTCTTTTTTATATTATTTAGAACAGTATCACGATTCGTGGAATTGCATAAGAAATCTGTATTGTATTCAGGCTCTGGTATACACAGTTTCGTGTTAGCACCAATTTTTCCTGGTACTCCTGCGGGCTATCGTAAACATCATTATTATTAACACGTTCATTGCCAAGCTGAAAATTGGAATTTCGTATTTTTTTTTTATTTAGTTTTTATTGTGGTCAAAGTAAGTTAATATATTATTTATATGCTTTTATTATTATGTACATAGGATTTATGTACTTTAAATATCTATTACGCGATAACGCGTGATCGGCCGTTTGGAGAATCGGCCGTTGAGAACTCGCATCACGCGATATCGCGTGATTGGCAATGAATGTGTTAAGAAAGATCAAGCAACTTAGAGGAAAAAAGACAATAAAAATCCACTGAACAAAGGATATTAGATCAATACCTTGAAATGTTAATTTTATATATGTCGCAGGGAAATGATGAAAATGGAAATTTAATCAGATCCCTAATCACCCCACCATTTTTATCATTTCCCTACGACATATATATATATTTTTTTTTACGCATTTTCATATTAAAAAAAAATATTTAAAATAAAATTACAGAATAATTCTTTCGAAAATATTGTAAAAATATTTTAAGATATTGAAACGTTATTCGGTACTTTTCCATGATGTTGATACAACATTAAAAACTGTACGTGTATGTGTGCGTGCAGAGTGTAGCAAAACGACTGACAAACATGTTTTCCAAAAAATTTGCAATTTCTTGAAAAATATTCCAAACAAAAGTTGTAAAGTGATACATTACATACTACTCTTAGTGTAACCTCGAATAGTCTTATCAAGGTTATATGAAGATCATTTTGAAATTTTTAAACAGGAACTTCCATTTTTTATTGGATATTCCTATAGCTTATATCGAGAGTTTTTCAAAATATTAATAAACAAGTTTACATTAAGCACTTTTCGAGTTATAAGACTTGAAAATTACAATACTGTTGGTAACAGCATTATCTAATGTGTACTAATACACAACCACACACACATAAGAGAAAGGATTTGGAGTCAATAAATACTATAGGAATGACGAACCATAGGGATCCTTATCTCTGCTATGACACACGTACAAAACAGAGGTATAAATTCAACTATATAACCTTCATGTGACACATTTTGGGTAATACTAATGCCGGCGGTACTGTAACTTTTAAGTCTTATAACTCGAAAAGTACTTAATGAAAAAATTATTTATTAAAGTGTTTTGAAAAGCTCTCAAGATAAGCCACAGGAATATCCAATAAAAAATGGAGGTCCTCGTTAAAAAAATGTCAAAGTGATCTTTATGTGACCTTAACAATACTATTCAAGGTTATACTAAACTGCTATGTAATTCGTCATTTAAAACCTTATAACTTTTGTCTAGAATATTTCTAAAGAAAATGCGCATTTTTTTCGAAAAACATGTCTGACAAGTAGCTCTATTATAATTTCTAATATATCTTGTACATCCCAGTAAACACCAACTAACAGTAGCATAACATCAATATTATAATTTTCCCACTTAACAATGTAAATGAAACGTAACGTGTATGTTATGTAACAATTACGTTGTTGAGTGAGAAATTATAACATTAATGTTATGTTACTATTGGGTGATGTTTACTGGGTAGGTATATACAAGGTGATTCACTTTAATTTCAACAGGCAAATATTTCGAAAAATGTGGAAACATGAGAAGATATTTATGATAAAAATTGTAAGATGTGGAAGGGGATATAAGACGGTGACCTTAACTTCGCTGTATAATGAATAATTTAAGGTCATTTTTTTTTTTAATAGAATCATAATTTTTTAACACAAATCGATTCTTTTGTTCATTATATGTATAAAAGTACTAAGGTAAGGTAAACTAAATACGATTACTTTTCGAGTTTTTACTTTTCATGTTGATATTTTTTTAGTATGAGAAAGATATGAAATATCTCATAAAATATCTATTTGGTAACATCATTTTAATATTTTTTTTTACATAATATTATGAGAGAAATCGATTGTTGATATTAATCATTGCACATCCATGCATTTGCAAAATGTAATGAATTTTTTTTTTAAGGTTTCTCTATGCTTATTTTCTCTATGCTTATAGCAATCGATTCCACTTGTTATTCTAATATACAAAAGTGTTGTGTGTGTGTGTGTGTGTGTGTGTGCGCGCATGCAATAACAATATTAATCTAGTTTAGTAACAACCATAAATAGTGAGCTCTTAAGACGGTCGCTGCCAATTATGAGTATACTCGTATGTTGATTACTGATCTCCTGTACAAAGCACGAATTAATCCGTAGTATAAGCGCGTTAATTTGGACCCTTGGCTTGTCAATAAAGCGGAGGGCACGTCTAGCGGTTTGGTAGAAGGAAATATGCCTGAGGAGCATGGCAGCGAACGTGTTAATTGGAGTATATTTAATTGGAATATATTTTTAGATCTAAAGGAATATTGAATGCAAGAGTTCATTAACTACAGTTGCTAAATCGGATTAACGTTGCAATGTAACAAACCTTAATGATCTTTTGTTTTTACTGGAAGCAATATATAAAATTACGTACCAACGTCTGTAGCCAAGAATGCCGTAATCTACAGAATTGCTTGAACAGTTCCCTGAATTTCATTTTAAGGAAGAATAATACCGTTCGTGTTGTCCCAAATACGTGCGAGTAACGGAAAATTCTAACAAAAGTTCGAGAAAGTTATATTAAAGGGATGACTTTCACGAAATTCTGATTAATCTAATCGACGATTGATTCAACGAAATTGATTAATCGCATTAATCAATTCAATTAAACCTCCTCATCATAGTTATATAAAACAAACGGATAATAAGAAATAACAAAAAATCTAGTAATCTATAACAATTATCCACTGAATTTTATATTTCGAACAATTAAAAATATTTTCTTCTGATATGGTAATATAATCAACCGAAAAAAGCCTAAATACATTAGAAAAAGATTTTTCACCGTATATGACAGTTGTATTTTTAACAAATGTGTACTATTTCAAAAAAATGCGACTGTTTATAATATAAAGTTAACAACAAACTCAACGAATTTATCCGTGTGCATAAAAGATTCTGCAAGAAAAATACAAAAAACTATTTTGTATGTAAGATCAATTATTTGGATTGTTTTATATATATATATATATATATATATGATAAGCAATCAAAAGACAATTCAATGTTCCTATTAAAAAAGATAATCATATCCCTCGCAATACTACTCAATCTTTTAT